TTCCCCTGAACTTGCCGAAGACACTGAGGAAGCTAAGCACCCTGAAATTGAAGATTCCGGCCCTACCAAGCTTCCTAAACCGGAAAAGAAACCGGAAACCAAGAAAGTCATTCGCAAAAAGGTCAAAGCAGATGGGGAACAAGAGACTTCCGTTCAATTTGTCTCGCCTGACGACGTGGAAGAAGAACAAGAGGTTGAACAGCCAAAGGATGAGCAACAAGAAGTTCTAAAAATCAAAAAGGTCAAGAAACAAGTTCAACCAGAGGAGGTGAAAGTCGTTAAGAAACGAGTCAAAGTTTCTGCAACTCAAGAACGGGAAATTGATTTTTACACACCAGTTGACTACCAAGAAGAAGTATTTGAGGAAACCCCTGAAGAACAAGACACTGGTTTGCCCAAGCTTCAACCAATTGAGAAGCAAGAAAAGAAGAAAGTAATTAAAAAGAAAGCTAAAGCTGACGAATCACAAACCACTGAAATGGAGTTTTATTCTCCAGAATTAGCCGAAGAGGAAGCAGAACAGCAAGAGGAAGTGAAAGCTGATCAACTACTTCCAAAACTGCAGGACAAACCAACTACAAAGAAAGTTATCAAAAACAAAGCTAAAGCTGACACTGAACAAGAAGTCGACATTGCTTTCACTTCCCCTGAACTTGCCGAAGACACTGAGGAAGCTAAGCAACCTGAAATTGAAGATTCCGGCCCTACCAAGCTTCCTAAACCGGAAAAGAAACCGGAAACCAAGAAAGTCATTCGTAAAAAGGTCAAAGCAGATGGGGAACAAGAGACTTCCGTTCAATTTGTCTCGCCTGACGACGTGGAAGAAGAACAAGAGGTTGAACAGCCAAAGGATGAGCAACAAGAAGTTCTAAAAATCAAAAAGGTCAAGAAACAAGTTCAACCAGAGGAGGTGAAGGTCGTTAAGAAACGAGTCAAAGTTTCTGCAACTCAAGAACGGGAAATTGATTTTTACACACCAGTTGACTACCAAGAAGAAGTATTTGAGGAAACCCCTGAAGAACAAGACACTGGTTTGCCCAAGCTTCAACCAATTGAGAAGCAAGAAAAGAAGAAAGTAATTAAAAAGAAAGCTAAAGCTGACGAATCACAAACCACTGAAATGGAGTTTTATTCTCCAGAATTAGCCGAAGAGGAAGCAGAACAGCAAGAGGAAGTGAAAGCTGATCAACTACTTCCAAAACTGCAGGACAAACCAACTACAAAGAAAGTTATCAAAAAGAAAGCTAAAGCTGACACTGAACAAGAAGTCGACATTGCTTTCACTTCCCCTGAACTTGCCGAAGACACTGAGGAAGCTAAGCAACCTGAAATTGAAGATTCGGGTCTTACCAAGCTTCCTAAACCGGAAAAGAAACCGGAAACCAAGAAAGTCATTCGCAAAAAGGTCAAAGCAGATGGGGAACAAGAGACTTCCGTTCAATTTGTCTCGCCTGACGACGTGGAAGAAGAGCAAGAGGTTGAGCAGCCCAAAGATGTTCCTACTCCTGTATTTACCCCTTTAATAAGCCCACCATACGCAGCCGAAAAATTTCAAATTTATAAAACTAAGGAAACACAGCCTTCTCGAGAACTTCAATTATTTACCCCGCAAGAATATCTTGAAGAGAGTGAGCCTGTTCAAGGACCAAGCACCTTATTGGATGTCCCAGAATTTGTTCGCCGAGCGTCTCTCATAACAGACACACAATCCAAGCCAAAGAGGACAAAGATTCAATACAAGCAAGAAAGTGTAATTTTATTCTACAATCCACAGCCGTATTTAGAAGAAGTTAGGGAGACAGGTCCACAGATGCAAATTCCAGAAATTAGCTTGGAAGAAGAAATTTGTAAATTAAGAGAAGAAGGAAAGGAGGTTGAAATTAAGAAGAAAATCTTAAAAAAGAAAAGAATTAGGGAACAATTGGAGGATATGATCATGTTCATCCCAAACGAATATGAGGAGGAAGAGGATGATGAGATACCTGAAGTAATGGAATCTCCTAAGGCAGTTCCAAAAGCAAAAATTCCGAAACCAGTGAAAAAGAAAGTGGTCCAAAGGCCAGTAGTTACAGAATTTACAGAAGAATCTCTGAAAAAGCTAAAGCCAACAAAGGTTCAAATGAAGATTGACCAGCCAGAATTTGTTCAAGAAGTTCGTGTGTCAAAGACGAAAATGCGTGCAGATTTGTCTCAAGAAGCTTCAATTACATTTTATACTCCAAAGGAATTAGATAAAACTGAACACTTGATTCCTCCAGTTGAAGAATCTGTCCCAGAGGAGCCCTTAGTTTTTACTCCAAGCTTTAAGGATAAAGATCAGGAAATTGTAGAAAAATCCAAAGTTACACGAAAGAAGAAGCTAAAAACTAGTGCAGAAGACACTCCAATCGTGGAATTTGAATCGCCCGACAACATCCAATTACAAGAAGACATAATGGAAACCAAAGATGCAGAATTAAAGCAAAGAAAAACCAGCCAATCTGCGGGTGAAAGTCAGGCCGATGTTAAAAAGCGTTTGAAGTCGGAGCAAGTTCAATCAAGTCAAGTTGACTTTGTTTCTCCAGTTGACTTTACTGAGCAGAGCGTCGTTAGAGAGAAGACGGTGGACGATGGTGATATTTCGAGGAAAGCAGGAGGAAAGGCGGATACAGATGAGAAGCGAAAGAAGGGAAAGACCAATGCGAAACAAGAGGGAGGTGTAATGTTCTATGTACCAGAAGGATTGGAGGATGAGGCGAAGGAGCAACAACTGGGGACTGAAGAATTGGATGACGGGAAAATGAAATTGAGTACAATTAGTGAGAGTCCAGCGGACGAGAAAAAGTTAAAAAAGAAACAGAAACAAGCCAAAGATCAAGAAAGTGAGATAATATTTCAAAGTCCAACAATTCCTGATGAACAAGCAGATAAAGCAATGCGACAGCCGGTAACTGTTGTAAAATTGGACGAAACCAAGCTTCAAAGAAGGAAAGAATGGGAAGAAATTGGTATTGAGAAAGTTTACTGGCTTTCTCCATTGGATTATTACGAGAGTGACGATGATAATAAACCTGATGAAAGGAAACCCATTGAATTAGAAGATCAAGACCAAGATAAAATTGGGAAGAAAAAGATAATCAAAAAGAAAAAGAAACCCGTCGAACAACCAGAGGCTGATGATTCAATGCCGACAATTGAGAAAGTATTCGTACCAGAAACACGTGATGAGACTGAAATTATACAAAAACCAGTAAAACCTTTTGTTCGCCCAACTGAAGAACGTGAAATACGGCTAAAAACTAAAATAGAACGTTCACAAGATCGACAAATTACATATTTTATTCCACAGGAATATGTTGAAGAAGTTGAAATTGTTCAAAAGCCTAAAGAGAAACCAATTGAATTGAAATCCATGGAAGAGAAGAAGTTGAAGAGAAAGAAAGTTGTAACAGAACAATCAAAAGAGATTATTTTCCACGTACCACTTGATTTAGTTCAAGAAGAAGTAATTCAAAGTAAACCAGAAATTAAAGAAGAAATTTCATTAAAACCCCAGAAAAAAATTGAAGACAAGCAACCAATTGAGGAAAAGGAGAAACGGAAAAAAGTAAAAGATGACTCAAAACAGGAGAAAGCAATTGAATTTATGCATCCAACTGATTTCACTGATGAGGATATAGATAAAAGTAAACCGGTTAAAGACAAACCATTGAAAATAGACGATAAAGATAGCACCCAAAAATCAAAGAAACGTGAGAAAGATGATTCAAAACTGCAATCAGAAATTACATTTTATTCTCCAAAAGATTTGGAGAAAGAGGAAAAAGAAACGAAACCTGAAAAACCTGATGACATTGAGTTAAAGTCAAAGAAAAAGCCAGAAAAGCATGTTCCACTTGAAGAGAAAGTAATTAAAAAGAAAGACAAAGTAGATGAAACGCAAGAGTATGAAATTAAGTTCCAAAGCCCAACTGACTACATAAAAGAAGATGCAAAAGATAAGGATGTCGATACCACGAGTCCATCATTGAAATTGAAGGAATCGGAAAAACCAGATGAACAACCAAAGAAAAAGGTCAAGAAACAACGTGACGATGGAAAACAAGATCAAGAAATCCAATTTTTAACCCCAACGGATTTTATTGAAGAAGAGAAAGAAGTGATTTCAAAACTCCCAAAACCAGAAACCTTAAAGCAACCAGAGATCCCAGAGAAGAAACAAAAGACAAAAACCACATCAAGTCAAGAACAATCGATCCACTTTCACTCTCCAATCGAATACACAGAAGAAATATCCACCCAACCAATCAAACCATCCAATTTGTATGCCCTCCCAGAAGAGAAAGCTGTCAAGTTAAAGAGCAAAGTAGAAAGTGTTTCTGACATAAAATTCTATACTCCACCAGAATATGAAACATCCGATGGTTCAGATTCTAATGTTAAATTTAAAACACCAGAAGTAGTTGAGAAAGTTGAGGTAATAGAAAAAGTCTTAAAAATCCACAGACCAATGAATAGATTAGAAGATAAACAGGCCGAGTCCACTCTAGATTTCGTTAGTGATCAAGAAGTAGCATTTAAAACACAGCCACAAAACTTGGAAACATCTTCCGTCATTGTAGATACGAGAGAAACCGTTAGTTTAGGCTCAAAATTTCATATGCAACCATCACAAGCATTAGAAAGGTTAGAATCATATGCACAATCCACCCCATCCGAACAATCCACTCCATTGGACACGTCCACCACAACCACCACCACCACAATACCAAGTACAAGTACTACCACAGAGCATGCAACTAATTCATCTTGCAGACCAATTTCTGAAGAACATTTGTTGCTTGAACAAACGGGGACATTACCAACCATGAAACAACCAATTGTTGATAAACCAGTGTGTACATTACAACCTGCTTTACCCATTGAAACAAACACTACCTTCCAACACATACAACCCGGAGACTCATTCAAAACCACACCTGCAGACAAAGCTAATGTACAAATATGGGCACCTTTTACAGAATTGAATGTTACCCAAATCATCCCTGAAATCGGATTAGGGGAACAAAAACACGACACAACAACAATCCAATCCGGAACCCTCGGACTCAATGACACACTACATCACCAGCTCACCCACGACAACCTCCTCGTCTATGACAAAGAAGTCGATGACGTAATAAAACTACCAAGTCAAGAACAAGCAGTTTTTAGTAAAAGAGAAAATCTTACTGAAATTACAAACAGTGCAAATTTAGTTTTCGAAGGTTTGAGAGACATGACCGAGTTTAGTTTAGATCAGAAAAATGCCTTAAAATCAACAACACCACATAATGAACAGGTTTCAAAGGAAACAAATTTAATACTGCAATCTGAATCTGAATTTATACCTGGAAAAAGTGGCTGGGCTACGTCAAAATCCAGTTTTGTCGAAAATATTAGCCTTACCAATGAAATTAATGAGACGTGTGACACAACCAGTGGCGATGTAAAACTCTTACCAGTAACACCATCCACACAAACGAACGTTGAGGTAGAGCAAGGGAATAATAATTCTTTGACGGTGAGGGATGTGATACCAAAGTTAGAAAATGAAACCATTTTAACAACTGAAACCTTAGATGAAAAGAAAACTGTCAATGTTAATATTGAGGGTGGAAAAATGGGGATTTTAATGAGCGAAACTAAACCTTTTGAATCAGTGGGAGTGAAGGATGCTTTCACTAGTAACGAGCAAAAAGGGAAAGTCTTACCTTCTGATTTGATGACGGAGTTAGAATGTAGCAAAGTTTTAGTTTTGGACAGTGTTGTAGAATCCAAACAGGAATCTTTGAAATTGACGAAGCCTACTGAATCCATTCAAGGATTACAAATTAATGCAATAAAATCAACAACGACCACAGATCTGATTGAAAATGTTAGCGAGTTTAACACTGAGAAACATAAAAATCAACAAGTTACAAAATTTACAGTCGATGTTACAGGAAAAATGCCAGAAATTAATGAAAATATGATTTATGAGAATAGTGGGGTTTATAAATCCATTGACTCCATTGGGGAGAAAGTGAAAGTAGGTTCAACGCAACCACTTGAAGGGGTTTATACACAAGAAAATGTAATTTTTCTAAAAGAACAGGAATTTCCTAAATCATCAACGAAAAAGGAAAATATTTCAATAAGTTTTGAACTAGGGAAAAGCTTAGAAATTGAACAAAATCCAATTCTTGATACTTGTGGTGAGCATAGCATGAAATTGGCAGAGGGTCAGAAACCAAAAATGGAACTAGAAATTGGACATGAGATAGAAACCAGGGTTGAAAATGTTATTGAAAAATCAGAGTTAATTATAATTCCAACGGAAAAAGAGAAAGTCATCCCAACAGATTTACAATTTGAAACGTATCAAACGGATCAACCAGAAATTATTGAAGGATTCAAAGAATTCACACACAAGTCTGATTTAGGAATGAAACCTAATTTTCGATTAAGCGAATCCGTTGGTGGTGTGGTGGATAATTTGATTGTAGATTTTAAAGAAAAGGAACTTACGATTCCAGAGTTTAAAGTTGATAAGCAAAATATTTCAACAGATTTCGTTTATTTGCATGAAAATCAAGGAGAAATCATTAAACCTTATGATTCAAATGTTCCAATGGAGATTAGTAGTGAAATGGAGAGGAAGGGAAATTTTAGTTTAGAATCTGTTGGGAAAGCAGTTGGATTGAGTCAATTAATTCAAACTGAAGAATCAGTGGGAGACATTTCACAACAGGAACAACAAATTCAACAAAACATTACATCATCATTTACCGAACCAAAACCAACGAGTTCTACATTTACTAATTTATTACTTGAAAACACAATTCCATCCTCGGAGGAACAGCAACAAAAACAACAAGCAGTTACAAAAATCGATTCACTTTACTCTACTCAACCAACGGAACAAACCATCAACTTTTCCTCACCAACGAATGATACACAAAAATCCAATCTCGTAATTCTAGAAGAACAAAATGTTGTGAGGCGAAGGGAAGAAGATGTTAGAATCGATTTAAGTGATATTTCTCAAGCGGGGAAAGCTGTGGAAATTGCTAAACTCAAAGTTGAACCTTTAGATTTGGGAGTGGAAATTTTAGAAATTTGTTCTGAACTTGATGTTGGGGTGAATTTTGGACAGGGAAAAATCAAAGATATTGGCGGAGCTGGTGGGGATAAAGTTGCCAGTGTTGAAGAGATTGATTTGAGGATGGCTGGGGAGAAAGTTGGGATAAAGAAGGGAAAGAAAGTGGGGGTTAGTGAGCAGGAGATGGTGAAAGAGGAAATGGAGGAGGAAGTGGAGAGAGAAGAAGAAGAAGGTATCGTAAGTACCACAGAAACACGCTACATTGTTCACCCAGATAATCAACAACACATTGAGACACTCACAACATTCAAATCAAATAAGGAACAATCAGGTTGGTCACATTTTTTCCACTTTTTTTCACTTGGACATTTAAAATTATGTGAATTACATTACTAATCTTCGGTTATCATGAGCCACATCCGATTTTTTGATTGGCATCTCAGCGACATTAAAAAATTTCGACCAAATCAAAACATCGGCCACATTTCTCATTGTCACGTGGACTTTGTTCATAAAATCATATAATTATATTACTAACGATTCTGGGTTTATACTTCATGTCAATCCGATTTTTTTAATTAGCCAAAATATCATCACCGCAATTAAAAATTTAGATAAAAATTTCGGATTTAGAATGACGATGAACTGTAAATCCCGCTTAAAATTGCGTAAATCTTAGAAATTAATCCAAATCTGTGGGTGACAGGTCTTGTGGAGATCACGGAAATAACCGAAGAGGAATCCACCTTATCAACTTCATCAAAAAAGAAAATATCCCAACCTCAAGAGCAACAAATCATGCCAGACGATGAAACTCTTCAAAAACTGGAACAACTAGCATCGTCAAAAACGAAAGCAAAATTGATAACGACGGATTCGAGGCAAGAACCACTTTCCATAACACAAATCCAACCCGAGGAATACGCAGAAGTAAAACCCGTCGGCGAATTGGGCAGAGTGAAAGCAAAGAAAACGCAAGACGAGCAGAAATCATTGGATGTTGAAGTAGTTTTGGCAGAAGAGTCCCTAGCACCGATGAAAATTAAAGATTTGGATACGAAAAAATCTACAAAATCCATTATGAAAACCAGAGCAGTTAATATTGATGAACAAATATTGCTGGAGACTGCTGGAAGTACTGATAAATTTGTGTCTAAATCGGAAAAAGCGGAGAAAGTCATTAAGAAATCCCATGAATTATCCGGTCAAGTGGATTTGCCTTTGGAAAAGGAAGAAGGTTTCACTGGGAAATTGCAACCAAAAGGATTTAAAGGGAATTTGAACATTATTGAAAATGAAGCAATTGATGTGAGCACTGTTTTAGTTAAAGAATCGACGGAGAAAGTGGATAAATTTGAGTATAAAGAAGAAACAGCCGGACAAATTATTAACAAGGGACAAAAAGTTGGTGTTACAGAAGAGAAAATTTTACATGAAAAGGAATCCGTGCTAATTCCATTTGAAAGGAAAGAAGAACTCGCAAGACCAGCGCTTACCGAATCTGAGTCCATTTCTGTACAAGAATATGTTTCATTACATAAAGAAATTGATTCAGATTTAGCATTAAAATCCGTTCAAGAAAATGCTACCAAGGATTTCAAATATGAAAAACAAATTTTAACCGAAATGAACATCCCATTAAGTTCAACGGATAGTTTGAAGGATTTTGTGTTACCACATCAAGCCCAAGGTGGAATTGGAGTTGAAAGGAATCGTGCCGTCAGCGTTAGAGAAATCAGAACTGGGGAAGAAATTGGTCCAAATATTAAGGAGTTTAAATATCGAGGATTGAATTTAACTGGTGGAATTGTCGAGGGTGAAATGGGAGTTGTTGACGAGAGGGGAGTCGTCATTCTCGAAGGGGTCGGTAAAGTTGGAGACTCCAAAGGAAATGAACAAACTGGTGTAATCGGATTGGAAGGGGGGAAAGTTGGGATTTCTGTGAGAGAAGTCGTTGGGTTGAGTAAAGAAGGGGATTTTGTGGAAATGGAGAAAGTTGTTGAGAAACAGGCGAAACCTACGTTGGATGAGAAAGAGTTGGGCGTTGGATCGACCAAGAAAGTTAGGATTCTTGAGAAGGAAAAATCCGTTAAAGAATTTGAAATGAAAGAAGATAAGGGGAAAATTTTACAAGAGCCGGTTCATGGAATTTTTGAAGAAGTTCAAGTTGGTTTGAACAAAGAGGGATTATTAGAAATGGGAAAATTGGATGAAAAACAAGCTAAATCTACTTTGGATGAAAAAGAATTGGGGGTGAGCTCTAAGAAGCAGGTGAAAGTTTTGGAGAAAGAGACTCCAACTACAGAATTCAAACTTAAAGAAGATACAGCAAAACAAATAATTGAACCAGTTCATGGATTGGAGAACCTTGAACAAATGAAATTATCCAGTGAAGGGAAGTTAAAAGAAGAGAAAGTTGAGAGAAAGCAGGCGAAATCCACCTTGGATGAAAAGGAATTGGGCGTGAGTTCCAAGAAGCAGGTGAAAATTTTGGAAAAAGAAACGACAACTACAGAATTTAAACCACAAGAAGAGAAGATTAAACCAACAATGGAGCCAGTTCATGGAGTAGAAAAACAAGAACAAGTTAAATTAACTAAAGAATCCACGTTTGAAACTGAGAAATTAGCTACGAAAAATGCACGTCGTTCTCTTGGAGAAAGTGAATTAGGAATCCCATCAAGTCAGTCACATGTAATTTGTGATAAAGAAATTGATACGAAAGATGTAAAGAGTGAGGAGCAAAATGCAAAATCATCATTCGAACCTGTAATTGGGATTGAAAGCCAAGAACAAGTCAAATTATCAAAAGAAACGGATTTACCACAAGAGAAATTTGATACTAAACAAGCTAAATCGACTCTAGATGAAAAGGAATTGGGCGTGAGTTCCAAGAAGAAAGTGAAAGTTTTAGAAAAGGAAAAACCAACAGCTACTTTGGAATCGAAAAAAGAACAAGCTCAACCAGTTTTACAGCCAATTCATCCATTGGAAGAGGAAATACAAACAAAACTAACGAAAGAAACTACATTCGAAAGTGAGAAATTGTCTACAAAGAATGCACGTCGTTCTCTTGGGGAAACAGAGTTAGGAATCCCATCCAGTCAATCACATGTAATTTGCGACAAAGAAATTGATACGAAAAACATAGAAACCAAACAAGAAAACGCACAGTCAACCACAACACCACATCATCACAGAACAGAAGAACAGCAAGTACAGTTAACAAAGGAGTCTGATTTAGTAGAGGATAAGAAACCGGGTTTATCAAAAGCTCGGCGATCCTTAGGTGAAACGGAGCTTGGTTTACCCGTTAGCAAAACCATACAAATCAGTGAAACAGCGGAAGCCCAATCTGAAGAAGGTATTAAATATGAAAATGCTAAGCAAAGTTTAACTGAGAAAACAGCCGTTGAAAAAGTAATGCAAGTTGAATTATCGAAAGAGGGGAGTCTAAAGGATGATAAAAAACCAGAGAAAAAACAGGCTAAAAAGAAACTGGATGAAAACATTACACTTGAAGTTACTGAAATTAAACCAGATATTCAATTAGGACAAGTTGCTAAAGTCACTGTTCAAGAAGACACGGCCAAAGTACTGCTTTCACCAGAAAATGTAGTCACCATTTCAGAGGATCGTCCAGTGAGTCCTGCCGTGAGAGAAATTCCAGTCATCGTTGAAGAATTTGGACAAGCTAAAGTTACCCAAGAGGATGACGCATTGGAAAAAGGGGAAGTCCGAATTGAAGAAGTTTTTGAAGACCAACCTCAACCCGTTGTCGAGAGGAAGAAAAGGGTTAGCTTTTCCATTCCTTTGGAAGAAGAGGAAGTCGGAGTGAGTGAGAAAGTCAAGAAAAAGAAAAAGAAGCCAGATGCTGAACCAACGGTCAAGGAAGCTGTTGAAGAAAGGATGATACCAATTAAGGTTGAAAGCGATGTTGAAATTGTCGAGATTTTAGAGGAGACGCCAACAGAAGTTCAGGAAGTGAAAGTAGCAGAGAACGTCCCAGAAGCGGAGAAAGTAAAGAAGGAAAAATATTCTACAAAAGCGGTGTTAATCGGTGATATCAAGTATTATATTCCTGAGGAATATATTGAAGAAATTGAAGAGAAAGTGCCAAAAATCAGAGAAGTCATTGAAATTGAACCATTTGTTTTTGAGAAAGCAGAGTCACCTGAAAAACCTGTAGAATTAGAAGCACCCAAAGAATTGGTGGCAAAGAAAAAGAAGAAAGTTAAGAAACCGAGTGAAAAAGAGGAAGAAATTGAAGAACTGGATAAAGAAAAAGAACCAATTGAAGAGGAAAAAGTGGAGAAAGTAGAGAAAATCCCATCAAGGAAATCAAGTTTAAAAGAAGAGCAAGAAGCAAAATCTAAAAAGAAAATGTCAATTTCAAAACCAGAAGAAGAAAAGGAAACAAAGGAAAAATTCCAAGACGATGCTGATTTAGGATTCAAAATTAAATATCAAACACCTGGAATTTATGAAGAAGAGGAAGAAGATAAAATTCCAAAAGAAGTTGAACCTGAAAAATTGGAATTAAAATTAAAAGAGAGGGACGACGAACCCTTGGAGAAAGCTGAACTGAAGAAACGAACAAAATCTCGATCTAAATCGAAAGAAAAAGATGTTCCAGAGGAAGTTCCAGCAGAAAGCGAACCAGTTGAAACTCAAGAAATTGAAAAAGTTGACGAACCGATAAAATCAAGAAGTCAATCTGTTGACGATGGTCGCGAAAAGAAGGAGAAATTCGTTGCTAAAGCTTCATTGGAAAGTGAAATTAAATGGTACACACCTGAAGAATATGAAGAACTTGAACAAGTGAAAGCCGAACCAAAACCAGAAGTTGAAATTGAACCATTAGTTTGGAAAGAGAAATCAGTACCAGAAGAGAAAGCGGAGGAGAAACCCAAACCTCTGGATGAGGAGGATGTAGATGAATTAAAGAAAAAGAAAGTGAAGAAAGTAAAGAAAGCTGAAAAACCTGACCAAGTTGATGAAGAGAAAGCGGAGAAAGTTCCATCAAGGAAAAGTAGTCTGAAAAGTCAGGATGGGAAAAGTAAGACTAAACAAGTTGTTAAACCAGAAGAAGAACCAGAAACTAAACAAAAATTATCTGACGATGCGGAAATATCAAATATTAAATTCCAAAAACCTGGAATTTATGAAGAAGAGAAGGAAGAAATTAAAAAACCAGAAGTGGAGCCAGAAAAATTGGAATTAAAAGATGTTGAATCTGATAAAAAGAAGAAAAAGAAAGTTACGAAAGCTGGGAAACCGGAGGAAGAAGAAGAACCAGAACCAGAACCGACGCCAGTACCAAAAACTGAAGAAGAATCCCCCGAGAAATCCTTACCAACGAGTAAATCCTCCACTCGTGAGCCATCCTTGGAACCCGTGACGAAGAGAAAGTTCTCATCAACAGCAAATCTTGATTTCCAGATAAAATACTATACCCCTGAACCATTTATTGAAGAGATTATTGAAAAGAAACCCAAGCCAATTATTGTCGACGATGAACCATTGGTGTTTAAAAAGGAGAAATCACCTGAAATTGTAGAAATTAAAGAAAAGAAATTAAAAGTTAAAAAGAAAAAGTCAATTCCTAAAGAAACCCCAGAAGAAGAAAAGGAAGAAGAAGAGGAAGAAATTGAAGAAATATTACCACAAGTAGTTAAAGAAGCTAGTCCTGAAAAAGTGGAGGAAATCCCAAGCCCAGTCCAATCTAAACCACCATCAAGAAAACCATCCGTTGATAAAACATCTAGGAAATCATCCATCGAACCAATACCGGAAGTCGTGCCTGAGAAAAAGGAGAAATTCTCAACGAAAGCTGTATTAATCGGGAATATAAAGTATTACATCCCGGAGGAATATATCGAAGAAATTGAAGAAAAACCAGTAAAAGAAAGAATCGTTGAAGATTTAGAACCATTAGTTTTTATTCCAAAAGAAGAACCAAAACCTAAAGAAATTGAAATGAAGGAAAAGAAATTAAAAGTTAAAAAATTGAAACCAAAAGAAATTGAGGAAGAAATTCCAGAAGTTGAACAGGAAGTTGAACCGGAGAAAGTTGTCGAGGAAGTTGTAAAACCAGAGCCAAAACCGGAAGTGAGAGTTGAGGAAGTTGTAGAAGAGAAAGCCCCCTCTAGAAAATCCTCAATCAAAAAGAAGGAAGTCCCAAAAGAAGAGGAGAAAGTGGTTAAAAAGAAGGAAAAGGAAGAGAAAGTTCAATTGGCTGAGATTAAATGGTACACTCCGGAGGATTACGTGTTGGAAATTGTAATTCCAGAAGTTAAGGAGAAGGAAATTATTGAAATTGAAAAACCGGTTTACGAAGAAATCGAACAGGAAGAAGTATCAATCAGTATTAGCAAAAAGAAACCGAAAAAGAAAAGCATAAGCGTTGAGCCCGAAGAAAGCGTGACGATTTCTAAAGAAAAGAAAAAATCACTTTCACCCGAGGAAGTCGAGACCGTGGTTAAATTACCGTCCAAAAAGAAATCACTTTCTCCTGAGGAACAAGAAGCATCCGTGACAATCACCAAGAAACCAAAAGAAATTGAGGAAACAGAACAAGAAGTTCAAGTGACTTTCACCCAGCCAAAAGTCGAAGAAATACAAGAACAAGCCACGTTAAAACTGAAAAAGAAACCATCAATTCAAAAAGAAGAAGACGAGGAGTCCGCGGAATTCACGATAAAACCAACGACGCAAACTTTTGAAGAAATCGAACAGGATAAAACGATAAAATTGAAAAAGAAACCCAAACCAAAAGTCGAACCGGAAGAGGAAGTCGCAGTGGAATTAACCATAAAACAAGAACCTGAAGAAGAACCAGAATCCGCCGAGTTCCTAATCCCCCGGAGAAAGTCCCAACCGGTAATAACCACCGAACCAGAAGAGTCCATAACACTTTCTAAAAAAGAAAAGGAGCAAATTTCCCAAAACGTTGAAACCTCAATCACTCTGAAACCAAAGATTAAAAAACCCAAACAAGAAGTTGAAGAGGAATTTATAATGAAGAGAAAGGAGCAAAGAATTGAAGAAATTGAGGAAAACGTGACGATTAAACAGAGGAAAAGCATCCCTAAAATCGAGCAGGAAGATGAGGAAGTCGAGGGGACTTTCGTTATCGAAAGGGAAGAAGAACAATCCGCGGATTTTCTAATAAAGAAAGCGCAGCAGAAAAAAATGGAGAAAGTCGTAAAAGAAGAACCGGAAGAGTCCATAACTTTAACTAGGAAAGAGCAAAAGCCAATTTCCATGGGTGAGGAGTCCGTCTCGAGTGAAATCACGATAAAGCGGAAGGTCCCTTATGAGACTCAAGAGGTTAATGAGGAAATCACCTTGAAAACGATTGACCAAGTGTTTGAAGATATCGAAGGTGACTATAAAGTTAAATTGGGGAAAGTTAAAAAACCGGAGAAAGTTAGTCAAGAAGAATCCGTGGAAATGACGTTGAAATTGAGGCCGGAAATCACTCAGGAGTATTCCGTTTATGAAGAGGAAGAGCAGCAGATTGAGATTAGAAAGAAGACTTACACCGTGGAGGAGATTGACGGGGAGGGCGGGGTGGTTATTAAAAAGAGGGAGAAGAAAATTGAGAAGAAATATGAAGAGGAATCGGCCGAGTTTGATGTTTTGCTCAGGGGCGTGGAGATTCTGAAGGGCTTGGAACCGGTGGTGCAGTGTCAGGTGGGACAGTTTGTCGAGTTGGTCGTGGTTATTCGGAGGGAGGGGGTCGCGAGTGTCGTGTGGGAGAAGGGCGGAGTGGTGAGTTGGTTGGTTATTTTGTTGGGTGTTTTTTTTGATGATTTTTCTCTTGTATAAAAGGTGCTCCGAGAGAACTGCGAAGTCCTCCAGGGCTCCTCGACCATAACGTTAAAGTACTCTATCGAAAAAACCACCTTTGACTCTGCTGGGGACTATCGCGTCTTTATAAAAAATGAGCATGGCGTCGTGGTCGAATTGGAAACCACGATCGTTGTTAAGCGTGAGAAGGTGCGTTGATTTAATATTTTTTAAATAAATTTCTAATAAAACCCAAATTTCTTAGACCACGTTTTCCGAAAAACTCACGGACACCGAGGTGATCGAGAACGAGACGGCTATTTTCACGGCGATCTTATCCGACGAGCAGGGGCAGGTCTCCTGGTTCAAAGACAGCCAGAAATTAGTGGAGAATGAGAGGATCAAGTTCATCCGGGATGATAAAGTGAGACAATTGGTGGTCAAACAGGTCTCGGTTCATGATGAGGGGGAGTACACCGTGGTGATCGTGGGGGAGATTGACGATGAGGAGTCCTCAGCAGAGTTGGTCGTCGTTGGTATGGTTACTTGTTTATTTTTTGTGGGGAATTTTTATTTAAAATAAAGTAAATAAACAGAACTCCCCCCTGAATTGTGTAAATTCCTGACGGACACGACGGTCCAGAGTGGCGAATGCGCTATCTTTGAGATTGAGCTGACCAAGGGGGACGCGAGGGTCACGTGGTTCCATGATGATGTTGAGATTGTCTTGAGTGAGAGGGTGCAGTTGGCCATTGATGGGAAGAGACAAAGATTGGTTGTCATGGATTCCGGGGTGAAGGATGCCGGGGTTTATTCGTGTAGGGTCGGGTTGGAGGAGGGTTACAGTTCCAGGGCCAAGTTGACCGTCGTTGGTATGGTTACTTTATTATTTTTTTTTGAGGATGGGATTTAATGTTTATTAATTTACAGAACCCAGCGTATATTTCAAGAGGAAATTACCCCCCGTTACCATGGTTACCAAGGAAACGGAGGAAGTTGAGTTGACCTTGGAGATTTCGGATGAGAGTTCCAGTGTTTCTTGGTTTTGGTGGGTTTTTATTTGTGTTTTTTTATAATTTTCATATAATAATTTATAAATTTCCATAGCAACGGAAAAACGGTAAAGAAAATCGACCGCTTTAAATCCGTGAAGAAAGGGACGAAGCGTGTGTTGAAAATTAGCAAAATCCTCCATGGCGACGATGTCGAGTTCAGTTGTTTAATCGATGGGAGCAGCATTAGCACGAAAACTAGCGTCGTTTTGGAGGGTATGCTTTTATTTTTAATATTTTTCCATGGCAACTGAATAATATTTAATAAAAAATTAATAGAAATCCAACTCCCCCCGAAAATAACGACCAAAACGGACCCAAAATACTACCCAAAAATCAACCAGGAATTTCCCCTAAAAATCGAGTACATAAACAAACCCACGAAATTTATATGTTCGGAAAATGGTTCGGAAATTCAAAACCAAGAGTTTGGAGTGGATTCCACAATTTTAAAATTCACCATAACAACGAATACTCTGATTAAATTTGTTATTAAAAATTCCTGTGGAGAAGACTCTGTGGAGTTTAATCTCCTCCCAACAGGTTGGTTTCCATAGTTATTTTAATTTAATAAAAAATATTAATCATAAAACTCCCCCATAGGCCCCCCTCCCCCCCAGGCCGTCCAATCTCCATAGAAACCACGCCCCAGTCAATATTCCTCCACTGGACGGAGCCAGAATTCCATGGAAACTCAAAAATAATAAATTACAAATTGGAGTACAAATCCGACGAGGACTCGAAATGGACCGAAGTGAATGAAGATTTTAAAATTGAAGAAACGAGTTTTAACGTTTTTGGCCTTAAAACTAATTCAAAATACAAATTCCGAGTGAAAGCGGAGAATTCCACGGGATACGGTTTCTATAGCGACGAAAGTGAAGAAATTATCGTCGAGAAGAAAATTGACAAGGAAATTTGTTTCATCGAAGAATTGGCGGATAGGATTTTATTCCTTGGAGATAAATTAGAGCTGAAAACGGTGCTCAAAGGGGGGGACGGAAATGAAATCGTTTATTGGTATGGCAACCCGGTTTTTTTATTTATTTTATTTAATAAATTGTGTAAATTTCCAGGGAAAAGGACGGAATAAAACAACCCACCTCGAGCTACACTTACGAGCAGAAAACGTCAAAATACACGGAAATCGTCAAGGAAACGTCGAATTACTCCTGCGTTGCCAAGACAAAGTCAAAAACGATAAAATCCTCATGTAAAATTGAGATTAGAGAAATTCCAAAAATCGAAACTATGGAAACCATGGAAATTGAGGAAAGTATTTACCAGAAAACCACGGAAATCGATAAAGAGTTAAAAATCCAATTGAAAATCACAGGTTTGGAACCCCCAAAAATCCAAATCCTCAAGAACAAGCGTGAATTTACAAACTACAATTTCCAAGACAACGTTTTAACAATTTCCAAACCAGGAGAAATCCCCGACAACGGTTGCTACGAATTCATAGCAACAAATTCCGTTGGCAGGGCAACTTTAAAAATAAACATAAGAATAAAAGACAAAAAATCCAAACCCCCCACGCGCCCCTCCCCACCGCCCCCACCGATAATCCTCACCCCCCAACCGGACCTAAGCGTCAACATTTCCTGGTCCCCTCCCCATGACGACGGTGGGAGCCCAATAACAAAATACTTGATTGAAAAATTCCATGACAACCAATGGCAACGCGTTTCCGAGGTTGCCATGGAAATTAATTCCTACACAATTGGTAACCTAGAAGAATCCACGGAGTACACTTTTAGAATTTCAGCGGAGAATAAAATCGGGAAATCAGAGTGGACGACGAGCGAAGGTTACAAAGCTGTGGTTTTGGGCGTGGTCGTCCCCCCTCCGCGGCCGCCCTTTGAAATCCTCGCCATGACGCAGAATTCTTTTACGTTGCGATGGAAGCCGGCTGAGGAGAAAGTGAGCGGGTATCTCGTGGAGAAGCGGGAGGAGGGGAAAAAGGCGTGGCAGGAATGTGGGAGGAGTTTGGGGTGGGGCGAAAGTTGGGTGGATGTTGGGGGGTTGAAGGGTGGGGTGGGGTATTTTTTTAGGGTTTGCTCTTTGGGGGTTGGTGGTGGGGTGTCAGAGTGGGTGGGGGTCAGGGAGGAGGCTGTGAAAATTGGAGGGGTCGTCAGTAAGTTTTTTTTATTTCTATGGTTACTGAAATTTATTTTATTTAAAAAAATTAATTTTTTAGCCGCCCCCTCTCCCCCGCAAAACCTCCAAATTCTGACAATCACCTCGAAGTCCGTGACGATTCAGTGGTCGCCCCCGAAATCCACGGGGGGAGCTCAACTCACGAGTTACATTGTTGAGAAACTGGTTTCCATGGAAAAATGGGAAAAAATCGTCACCCTGGAAACGTCCGTCACGCAGTTTACAATTACCAATTTGGTGAATAAGGAATGGCAATTCCGCGTGTTTGCCGAGAACCCGATTGGACTCAGTCAACCTGCTTTCACAGAGTGCTGTCAGCTTAAATCCCACGCTAGTGAGTTGTCATGGATATTATTTTATGTTAAAATTTGGCGTGCCAATTTTTCTGCTAATTTCTGTGTCAAATGTTTTGGCACGCCAAAATTTGTGCCAATTTCTCTGCCAATTTTTGGCGTGCCAAAATTGTTGCCAATTTTTTGGCGTGCTGTAAAGTTTCCATGGAAATAATTTTTAAAATAAATCCACTAGCACCCCCCTCGCCCCCCACGGCGCCCCTGGAGTCCCGCCAGATCGCCCTGAACGAGATAATCGTGACGTGGGGGATCCCCGAGTCCGACGGGGGCGCCCGGATCGAGTCTTACGTGATTGCGATCCGTGACGTGAAGAAGACGATGTGGATGGAGGTCGGCCAGGTGAACTGGGACTGCCAAAAATTAGCCGTTCGAGAGCTGGAAGATGGGAACGAGTACCTCATCAGGATCTTCGCCAGGAATGAAGTCGGGCTGAGCGAGCCCTTGGAGAGCGAGGAGCTCGTCAAGATTTGCAATGCCAGGATGGGTAGGGTTTTTTTATTTTTTAAATTTGGTTGCCATGGAAATAAAAAAATAAAATTGTATCCTAGACCCCACGGCGCTCTCCCGCCACCGTGACGAGCAGGAGTCCGAAGCCGGGCTGACGCCGTCGATGAGTTTGACGGAGACGACGACTTCGTGGATGCGGGAGGCTGGGATGGACGCGGACATTCGGTTTTATTCTAGATCCGCGTTGCTACGGAGAAATGAGTACTTTTTCAGGATTTGGCACTACTCCAGGGAGTTGTTCAAATAATGTTACGAACGAATTTTTTTTTTGTAACTAAGAGATGAAGTGAATTACCATGGAAATTATTGTAAAAATAAAACGCAACGAACGAGTTTTTTTCTTTTTTGTAAATTTAAGATTATTCTAGTGAATTATGTGACGAGATAGGTTAAATAAATTATGATAATAAATAATCCCCCTGGAAATACTACAAAATTTACTTGAAAATCTGCACAGCAGCATCTTTTTTAAATTTTATTTGTTTGAAATCTCTTAAAAAAGAACGAAAAAAACACACACATTTTTAACAAATTTTTTGAGCTATTTTTTATAAGGATTATACACACATTTTTTGATAATTATTTTACCATAACAACAAGGAATGATTGTTTATTTTTTATATAAAGGGTATTTTTTGAGCAAGAAAAAACTTTTTCCGTCATTTCGTTTCCTTGGAATCGTTTTAAAAAGCGGCGGCGGAGGTGGTGTGGTTTTTTTTAAAGAGAGAAAGGTTCAAGATTTGGATGGATTTTTTTAAGTTATTATTAGTTGATTATTTTTGGGTGGGTCAGGATGAGAGTGGGTCAGGGGTCAGGATGGAAAAAGTGGGTGGATAAATTTTTATATTTAATTTTTAAGCAAGAATTCATTAAAATTTTGTAGAATACAATTCATCAGCAAATAGCAAATCCTGATCGTCGAGTAAAAGTTGCTTTAGTAATTTGTCGTCCACGGGGGCGGGGATCACCGTCGAGGAAGAGGACACGTTCGTGGAGGAGGACGTCGAGGGCGTTCGGTTGCCATGGTAACTTTGGTGATGAGAGGTGGGGGTGGGGTGGGTGGGGTGGCGGTTCTTTTGGTGTTTTTCGGGGGAGGCTGTGGAGGTTTTTTTAAAAATAAGAAGGTGTTAGGTGTTGCCATGGAAATATTTTTTTAAGTTAGAGTTGCCATGGAAATATATTTTTAAAAATTGTTGCCATGGAAATATTTTTTTTAAATTATTGCCATGGAAATATATTTTTAAAAATTGTTGCCATGGAAATATTTTTTTTAATTATTGCCATGGAAATATATTTTTAAAAATTGTTGCCATGGAAATATTTTTTTTAAATTATTGCCATGGAAATGATAGACTCACCATTTTTCCTGGGAGGGTTGAGCCGTTCGGAGGTGATTTTCATGGGAGAGTTGAAAGTGCTAGAGTTGGCGGAGGAGGCGGAGGACAAGAGCTGCTCCGTTTCCGAGTCGACCAATTTCTCAGACTTTTTCAAAATCGGCTTCCTCTTCGTGGGAGCAGCAGATGCGTTGCCGGCGGTGGAGGCGCCAGAGTGGACGCTCGACGTGGGGACCGGTTGTTGGGGGTGACCGTGGTGGTGGTGGTGGGGGGTTGCAGGAGGAGGTGGTGATGTGCTCCTCGTGGAACCTGCATATTGGGTTGCCATGGTGATTTATTTTAAATTGGGAGTTTTTTTTAAAGAATTGCCATGGAAATTATATCAGGAAATTGTTTCCAAATTTTATAATTTAAATTATAAAAAATGTGCATGGTGAATCTCCGTGGAATTAATTTCCATAGAAATAATTTCCATCGAGATATTTGCATGTGAATTTTTATAATTATAGAGTTTCCATGGAAATTGTATAGTTAAACTATTTAAAAAATTAATTTCCACGGTTATAAAAAAATTTCCATGGAAATTATAAAAATTATACAATTTAAAAAAGTGCCCCCCCCCCCATAAATGTATTTTAAAAAATCCCCATGGAAACTTTAAAAAAAGAGTGCCATAAAAAACTGACCGAAAAGATGCTGATTGATCAGTTTAGCGGAGGAAGCGAGGATTTTTTTGTGAGGCAGGAACGAAGATGCTGCTGGCTGCTGCTGCTGCTGCTGCGTGGGAGGAGGCTGCGTGAGTGGGTGTGGCTGTGATTGCAGTGGGTGTGGCGGCGGTGGCTGGTGGCGCAGGAAACCCGGCGCTGGTTGTTGGTGGTTATTATTAGAATTATTAGAACTATTATTGTTATTATTGTTATTATTGCTTTGCTGTTGCTGATGGTGATGATGCGGTGGCGGTGGTTGTGATCGCTGTATAATTGCCATGGTGATTATTTTTTAGAGAAATGAATTATTGTGCTGATTTGGAAATTTTTAATAAATAAATAAAGAATTTAAGATAAAAAACCTTACATCTTTAATACTGCTGCTCCGGAGTTGTTGTTGTGAGGGGTGTGAGGTGGAGGGCTGGAATTAATTTTTTTAATTAATTTCCATGGCAACTTAAAAAAAATCCCCATGACAACCATCATACCTCCCGATTATTCCTGCTGAACTCCCCGGACCCGGACTTCCTGACCTTATTCCTCACCCCACCCGTTGACAACGCGAACAAACTCCCCGTGCTCCCCTTATCCCCACCGCCCCCTTGCCCCCCCTGCTGTGCCTGTTTGCTGCCCCCCTCAAAGGGGTTCACATACAAATTGTTGACGTTGTCCAGCACGTCCTCCTGGGACGAAGCGTAAGGGTGCGTTTGGCAGCTTTGGAACGTGTCCGAGCTGTCCATGGAGCCTTTCTCCGTGCTCGAAAGCAGCCTCGCTGGCTGCTGCCGCGACGAGGGCTCCTCCGAGGACTCGTCCTCCAGTTTCAATAATCTCGTTTCCATGACTTTTAAATTCTCTTCCGTAGTGTTTTCAAGTGGTTGATGTGCTGGTTGCTGTGACGACGTGGTGGTTAAAATTAGTTGTTGCTATGGGGACATATATAAATATATAGAGTCTGATATTTATTCTCATATTATCGACGGTGGTGGTGGTACTGCAGAGCTCGAGGTCGTTGCCATGACTCCTCCCCAGGAGTTCCCATTGTCCTGCATTATCTGTTTTTTTATAGGTCGGTTTTAATTTTATTTTTTAATTTCCATGGAAACAAACACACAAACACGCATACCAACACCACCACCGTGCGGATTATTTTGAGGAAAATCGGATAATACGTGCAGAAAATCACACACCAAAACATTAGTAAATTTTAAATTAAGAGACTCACGGAATGATCAAACTCTTCTAAATCGAGGCCATCGTCGCCATGGTTACTGCCCCGCTTGGAATTCTTCTTCGCCCTTAGGAATAAATTGTGATCGTAGTTCTTATAGCAACCAGTCCCTGTTGTTGTGGGCTTGTCTCGCGTGTCGCCCTCCATGGAATTCGCGTCCGCTTGGGACATGTTGTGGCCTGCAGTTTCCATGGGAATTAATTTATGTTGCCATGGAAATATCTCAAAACCAAAGAAAGCTCACCAGTATCAACAATAACATCGATCAAATCCATGGACTTAGCGAAGGCATCCCTCAAATTGACATGTCTAAAACTGACAATACTCCCCTCCCTCTTGGCCCTCTCCAGGGCCTCCCTCCTCTTCAGCGCCTTCTCCCTCCGCATCTGGTTCTTGTAAAACTCTGCAAAGTTATTCACGATGATCGGAATGGGCAAGGCGATGACGAGCACCCCACAAACGCAGCACACGCTCCCAATCATCTTCCCTATATTCGTTTTTGGATACATGTCCCCGTAGCCCACCGTCGTCATGGTGATCACCGCCCACCTATGGAGGAGTCACGTGGTTAATTCCCTCCAATAATTTAAAACTCCCGCAAAAAACTAGAGTTCCACTAACCAGAACGTGGCCGGAATGGACTCAAAGGTGGAGTCGATCTGCTCCCTCTCCGCGAAATAAGCGAGGGAGGAAAAGATGAGGACGCCCATGGCGAGGAAGAGCATCAGGAGGCCGAGCTCTTTGTAAGAGTTTTTGAGGGTGAAACCCAAGGACTGGAGCCCCGTCGAATGACGAGCTAATTTAAATATACGCAGGATACGCATTATCCTAAACACTTGGACGATTCGACGCACGTCCGCAAACTGATCCCCCGTCACTCCCGTGTGCTGCATACACAATAAAGTTTTATTAATTTCCATGGCAACAACCCATTAAAACCGTGACCTCACCTTCTTGCTCTGGATGAGAAAGAGCGAAATATAATAAGGTAAAATGGCCAACAGATCAATGTTGTTCAACCCCCCCTGCAGAAACTTGCACTTGTCCGGACTGGCCGCCAACCTCAAAACATACTCCAGTGTGAACCACGTGATGCAGACCTCCTCCACCATTGCCAAATAGTGATTCTCCACGGGGACCAAGTCCTTATACTCTATTTTATTCGTTTTGGGATTCGTCATATTCGCGAATTCCGCTGCGGGGGAGCCCCTCGCGAAAAACTCTTCCTGCTCGGAAAAGGCGTTCTTGCAGATCGTGGCGTTCTCGTTGGTGCACTCGTACGCTTGGAGGTCCGGCATCGTGTTCAGTGTGAGGGCGATGGTGGACATCACGATGAACAGGATCGAGATTACAGCCACGACCTAGGTTTCATTTCTATGGTGACTACTCTATTTTCTGAATTAAACTAATTTACTAAGTAACTAAAAAACCAACCCTCGCGGGACAACTCGAATCCGGTTTCTCCAGCAAATCCCACACGTATTTTTTATAAGTCGCACAGGGCCCCTCGCCAAAGTCCTCCTCATCCCGTTGCCTTAGCGACTCTGCTTCTTTCCTCATTTCCTCGTAGACGTGCTCCTTCCTTTGGTGATATTTATGTTGACAACAGCTCTCGAGATACAACTCGTCAATGCCCCAAAACTCCAAGTCCTCACTAAAAGCTAGGACGCACATTTCATCCACTAAGTGTAATTTCCCAGTTCGGTAAAAGTTTAAAATGGAACTGAACGATTTTGGGTGGCGGTCGAAGAAATATTCGTTGTCTTGGAGATTGTAGTCGTCCGCGAGTTCGAGGATGGCCTCGTGGGTGGTGCACTCGCGGAGCTGGCCGAGGCGGGTGTGCGGGAGGCGCTCCAGGGTTTTCCATAGCACCTCGTGGCGGATGCCCCCGACGTTGAGGATCACGCGGCGGGAGGTGGAGAGGGAGTGGAGGATCTGGGTGGGGGATTGTGGGGGGAGGGTTCGAGGGGGGGCTGGAAGTCGTGGTGGGGTGGGGAGGAGGAGCTTGAGGAAGTGGAAGAGGCAGCAGAGGAATGATCGTCGTCAAGGGAAAAGGACTCGGCGGGGGCGATGGTGGGCTGTGATTAAGAGAGAGTTAAGAGTTATTGCCATGGAAATGAAGATTAGTAAAAACTAACCTGATCACAGGAATTGTTGCCCCACTTGACCCCAGGCGTCGTCGTCCCACCACCAGTAGCACCACCCGCACCTACCTGCCCACCACCCACCCTTGATCTCATCGGACTGGTCTCCATGCCAATAAATATTACGAGAGGTAAAAAAAACTAATAATTAATAAAAAAACCATGGCAACTGGGAAAGAAGTCCTGTCCTGAACGACCATCCCTGTTTTTCTCTCTCTCTCGTGTATGCGAATTCTCTCTGCTCGTGTATTTTTCTCTTGACTATATAGACTTTCTGTGTCACTACTTTCCTGGTCGGGATATATTTCGGTGGTCGTATTATATTTGGCGTACGTGGTCGGGCAGTTCGGGAGCGACGTTCCCATGGAAATGGATGCAGTATCGATCCACTCGCAAAACCCGCATAGCAGACATGAGTTTGTAGCAGTACTACAGTTCTCCTAAAAGCGTGGCTTTTCGCATGCAAAAATTTTTTTTACGCTAAAAGAACTGTGCCGATTTATTTTTACACTAGTTTATTTTTAGCTTTTTAGTTAAGAGAGTGAAGAGTTAAATGTCGATCCGCTTCTGCCAGTGGCTGGTCCAGTAGAGATTGTTGTCATGGGGATTTTGGTGGCGCTGGTTCTCCCGGCAGATCGAGACGCAGAAGATGAGGGACGAGATGAGGGCGATGGTCCCCACCAGGAGGAACAGGATCCCGCAGTACCTGTGCAGGATTTTATTTTATTTTAATTGGTTGCCATGGCGATAATTATCGAGTAATTGTACCAAACAAAGGCGGGTTCGAAGAGTTGGAGGACGATGGAGAAGCCAAGCGTGATCAGGATCAGGCCCAGGTTCACGAGGACCAGGAGGCAACAGACGCCTATGGATTTTATTTTAATTATTCCATTGTTTCCATGGAAATAATTTTTAAAACCAGACCTTTGGCCCTTGGGCATAGCGGATTCGGAGCGGACATGGTTTCCATGACGATCCCTGCTTTGTTTTTATTCGAAATTATGCTCTCTGGTTTATAGGACATGTTTGAGGGTGGCCTTGGCGATTGTTGGTAGTGTTGTTGTGGAGGTGGGCGGGGGTTGCTATGGAAATTTATTTATTAAAAAAAATATATTACGAATAATAAATAAAAACCACCTAGGAAACTCGGAATTATATCGATTATCCACGACGTAAATTTCCGAGCCATCGTCCCTCGTGTTGTACTCGCGTTGGGAATACATTTTCACTAATGATGGTCAGCTGTGTGGAAGTTACTATGACTACCTTTCATTTTTTTTACATATTAATTCAGCACACCTACACAATTTCCATGGTCACCACGCACGTGGTTTTCTTTTGCCAGATTTTTATTGTTATTTTTCCGTAATTTCGTAAATTTTGAATTTTTATAGATTTTCCCATGAGGGAAATTTCAAATTTCCGAATTAAATCCAAAAAAACAATAATTCCCATGGAAATTGCGAAATTAAGCGGAAATGTGAAAGTTTTTGCATATTTATTGGTTACTCTAGCTCGCCGCCTGGTGGTTGTTGTGGAAACTAATTTTTTGTTATTGTGATTTTTTTTCTGTGATTATTAAAAATGGACAAATTAAATAAGGAATTAAATAAATTGGATTTAAATTCGTCGCCAATTTATGAAAATTTAAGTAACCATAGAAAAATTGAACAACAGCCGATTTACGAAAATGTCGCAGAGAAATTGGCGACCAGTCATCAGTCTGCGGCGGCTGCGGATCATAAAAAATTCCCGTTCACAGTCACGCACCATAGAAATGTGGTAGGGATTTTTTAGTTTCCATGGAGATTTTTAAAATTAATTTTTTGGTTTTTTTAAGCACGTGGAGGCTGAGCGGAAACTGGAAGAGTTGACCAAGGAAATTGAAGAGGAATTGGCTAAAAAGGAGGAGCAGGGGGGGTATTTCGGTAGGTTAATTTTTAGTAATTTTGTTGCCATGACGACTATATTTTATCTAAAATTCAATGTCCGCACAGGAATCTGCCGCGCCTGTGGGGAAAAAGTTACCGGTCTCGGCGGCCAGGCGTGTCAGGTGCGCGGTTTTTATACAAAAAAATTGTCATGGCAACCAATAAATTTTTTTAAATAACCACAGGCGATGGGGAACCTGTACCACACCACGTGCTTCGTCTGCGTCTGCTGCGGCCGGGCGCTGCGCGGAAAAGCCTTTTACAACGTGAACGGAAAAGTCTACTGTGAAGAAGACTATCTCTACTGCGGGTTCCAACAGACCGCGTCGCGCTGCTCCATCTGCGGCCATCTCATCATGGAGACGGTATTTTTATCACTTGTTTCCATGGCAACCACTAGTTTTTTTTTAAATCCATGGCAACCACCACTAAAATAAAATTGTAGATCCTCCAAGCGATGGGCAAGCCCTACCACCCGGGTTGTTTCCGTTGCTGCGTGTGCAACATCTGCCTCGACGGCGTCCCCTTCACCGTCGACATGGACTCCAAAATCTACTGCGTCAACGACTACCACGCGCTGTTCGCCCCCTTGTGCGCCGCCTGCGGCAAGGCCATCACCCCCATCGAAGGGACCGAAGAAACAGTGAGAGTGGTTTCCATGGGGAAGGATTTCCACGTGGACTGCTTTTCCTGCCAAGACTGCGGTCTCCAACTCACGGACGAGCCGGATAAGCGGTGTTATCCTTTGGAGGACTCGTTGCTATGCAGGCCGTGTCACGTGAACAGGTTGCGCTTGGTTTCCATGGCAACGCCGTGTGAGTTGGAGGTCAGTTTTACTTTAGTTATTTATTTATTAAAAAACCATGGAAAATTTAAATTATTAATTTATTTATATAAAAAAATTTTTTCAGGGGGTGAAAGCGACGTATCAATCGCTGGATTAGTTACTTTTCAATTTTCGCACGTTTTTTCAATATCGCTTCTTCGACGGCGCGGAGTTGTTTCATTAGTTCTTCGCGACGGGATTTCGTGTCCTCCGACGCGCGGGGTTGTTGTTGGGGGAGTGGTTGCTATGGTGATTTTATTTAAAAATTAATAAATTTGTTACCAGTTTCTATGGAAATAAATAAATACCTGTTCAATCGCTTCGACGACTTCTTCTTTTTCCAAATCGAAATCGGCCAGTTTTTCCACGACAACGTCGTTTTTCACGGTGAAATTGTTCTTCTTGTCGATCGTTAGTTTTATCCTCTTGGGTTCTGGCGGAGCGGGTTTTTCCGCGAACTTTGCGGATTGTGGCGCGGGGGGAGATTTCGATTTTGATTTCCCGCCGCCGCTTGTCAACACGGGCGCTGTTCTGCGCGCCGCGCCCCCCGCGGCTAAGCGCCCAATGTGACTCGTGTCTAAGGATGAAGAGGAGTCTGATGAAGAGTCGGACGACGCGCCGCGCTTCCTTAGCAACGAGCGCCTTTTTCCATAAGAAGACGATGAACTCGAGGAGGACCGGTTTCTCCGGTAGCGCGGCGGGGGTTGTTTCGCGGGGGGCGATTTTGACCGTGACCGCGTCGAGGTCGTCGTTGTTGAGGAGGACGAGGAAGAGGAGGAGCTAGAGCGCCGCTGGAATTTTGATCGATAGTAGCGCGAGGAGGGGGGTTGGTTTGGGGGGGATTTTTGGGGGGTTATGGGAGGTTCTTGTGGGGGCGCGGAGCGCGTAGGGGGTGGGGTCGTGTTACGGTGGTAGTATCCGGGGTGATGGTGGCGCGGGGGGTAGTATGGGGGGTGGAGGAGACGGGAAGAGGGCGCGCCGGGGTGCGGGTGGTGTGGTGGGAATCTATTTTTAGTTTTATTAGTTTCCATGGGAATTATTAATAAAAATGTTTTTAAAATCACCTTGGATACCGCCCGAAGGGAGGCCTTTGAGGCATTTGCAATCTACGGAAATCCTCCGGTGGGGGTGGCGCTATGCGGACTGCGCCGAGAAAAAAAAATCCTTGTTGTCATGGCAACTAAAAATTTTAATAATTAAGAAAATTACCATGTCCAATTTCAGGAGATAATTCTCGCGGGGGTGCTTTTCTCATGACGCGCCGACTGCTCCCGCTGCTTTTGCTCCCCCCGCCGCCCCCACTGCTCTTGGAGGAGGAGGAGCTCGTGGAGACCGAGCGCGACCGGGATTTTGCCTCTGGTTTCCATGGTTTCTTTTTTCTGTGTTTTTTTTTTATAAATTAGTTTCCATGGCAACAAAATATTATTTTAATTTCCATGACAACAATTAAAAAAAACTCACACAACATGGTGCACCTCCCTCCTCACGAAATCCGCATCAATTTTATTAGAAAAACTCGCCGCTTGCGCTTGCGCCGCCGCCTCCGCCGCTTTTTGTCTTTTTTGTTGAATTAGTAAAATTTTCTCCTCGTCATTCTCTTCATCTTCCTCGTGATTAATTTTCCCGTTGTCATGGTTACTCTCGTTGTTGCCATGGCAACCCATGGGTTTCCTAACAACGAAATAATCATTTTCCTTGTCGATTTCCTCCTGCGCGAGACTCAGATTCATTTTCTTTTCCTCAAAATCCACGTCCGTCTCTTTGCGTTTCACGCTCTGCTTTATTATCTGTGGGATTTTTAAGTAGTTTTTTTTAAGTTACCATGGCAACGAATTTTATAATCTCCATGGAAACTTTAAAATTAAAAACCGCACCTCCTTGGCATGCCTGAGCCCCCTCTCCCAAGCGGACTCGGGTCCCACGGCAACGGGAGCCACATGCATAATTGGCTGATTATTTGTGGGGAAATCACCAAGGAGACCTTGTTTTTGTTGTTGCTGCTGCTGCTGTTGTGGTGGGTGGGGCGATGGGGGCGGGGGGCGTGGCAACGGCTCAAACATTGTGTACAATCCTTTATCATTAACTCCCGGGTGGAGGAATCTTAGAATTACAATTTAATCGTTAATTCCAAGTAACCATGGCAACTATAAATATTCACCTGCACGACTGCCCCCAAGTACACAAGCCCTTCCCGAAAAACCTACAAACGGAAATCTGTGCGGGTTGTTCATCCTCCGAGACTTCGCCTTCTTCCAGCGAGTCCTGTTCTTCCTTCGTCGTCGTCTTGGTCGTTGCCGTGGCAACGGTTTCCAATTCACCTTCTTCTAAATTTGGGTTCGTCTCTTGAACCTCGTCGTCGGATTGGATTTCACCGTCGGAGGATTCGCACAGCGACATTTTTAGTGGTTTTTTAATTGTAAATTATATTTCCGTGGAAACCGAAAAATGGTGTTGATTTTCTAACGGTTTTTAACGCGGCCCGCCGATGGGATAAGGATGCTTTGCAAAAGGGGCAAAGTGAGAATAAAATTTAAAAGTGAGATTTTTCCATGACGACACAATCTAATTATTTATTGCCAAGTTTTTACTATTTTTGTCAAGTTACGAAATGAAAGAAAAATTCCTGAGGTAGTTCTTTGTATACTTTGATAAAAAAAATATCTAGAAAATATTTACAAATCTCCATGGCAACAATATTAATCTATTTTGTTTCCACCAAACAAACCAGTATTTTCCTGGATAAAGCGGAGATAAGTGTCCAGTATTGCTGACCCTGTCGATTCTTCACCGCCTCCGGGGGTCGTGGGGGCGGGGGGGAGGTTCCGGGGGTCGCGGGATCCAGTGTTTCCATAGTTTTCACCCAGGAGTCTGAAATGGGAATTTATGTAATTCATATCTCAAATGGTATCCATGGCAACTCACCTCGCGGCCAAGTTGGGGTCGAAGGGGGCGGGCATGGGGAGGACGGGGAGGTCCTTTGTCGAGATCCCGCGGTGCTGCCGCGACATGTGCGAGTGGAGCGAGTTGCGCGACTGCGGAGTTTATTTTATTTAGAAATTAATTTCCATGGAAACAAATGCATTTTCTAAAATTCAGACCTTGGCGACCGTCCCGCAGAGGACGCACCTGTATCCGGGGCAGGAGGTGTGTTTGTCCTCCAGGTGCGTCCGCAGGGTGTGCGCGGAGCGGTAGATTTTGCCGCATTTCGGACACGGGCGCGGGTCCGTCGCGCGGATGCGATTGTTCAGGATTGAAGTGGAAGAGGTGGAGGGTTGCTGTTCCGGGTGGGTCGTCAGGGGGTACTTTTTCGTTCGGGTTTTGGTTGCTATGGGGATTTTTTCATGTAATGTTGTCAAGGAAAAAAAATCGTGGAAGGTCTTGGTCGCTATGGTAATTTTTTATAATAAACTTTAATAAAAACCATGGAAACTCACAAGAATGGAAGGACCCGCTGTCATCCTCGTCAAAATTCATAATTTCATCAAATTCACAGGATTTGGAGTCTTCCTCGGAGCTTTTTTCTGCAATTTAAATATAAAATTAGTTTCCATGGCAACCAAAAAAATAAAAAAAACTCACCATCCTCCTCCCCACCACTCTCATCCTCCCCCTCCCCCTCCATCTCCCCACCCACACCCACACCACCCCCACCACCACCCTCCACCACGTGACAATTCCTCACTAACAAATCATTGTTATTCCCCAACAACGCCTTGACCAAAATCGACTCTGAATTCTTCTTCTCTTCAACCAACCCCTTAATCCCCAGTTGCTTGGCAACCTCGAAAAAATCCCCCAAATCCCCCTCCCCCACGTTCACCTGCCCTTCATAGACAAAAGTGAGGATTTTCTCCAGCTCCCTGCTCTTCACCTCCGGGAGGATTATTTCCGTTAGCGAACAACAAGGAGTCGCAGGGGGCGTGGTCGTCGTGGGCGTGGTCGTGGTTGTCATGGCGTTGTTGCAGCAGCAGTCCTGCGGGGTCTAAAAAAATAATAAATTAATTTTTCATAAAAACAATCCCCATGGAAACACTCACCCTCAAAAGAATCCTCTCAAGAAACTCTGATCCCATCGCCATGACGATTTTATGGCAGAAAAAAACCTCTTGATTTTGGCAAATTAATTTTAAATCCGCTAAATCTCGCGAGGTTAAAAGTCTTTTGAACTCGGTTTGCATAGTAACGTGGTAGTCGTTCCATTTTAATGTGTAGTTATTGCTTTTATTAGTTTCCATGGTTTTTTTTACTGCATAATTAATTTTTATTTTATTACTAAAAAAGAGACAGTGGAGAGAGAGGAAGAGAAAATGGATGAGTTGTTGTTGTGGTGATTAATTACGGGGAAAGTATTCGGGAGAAAAATCAATAAAATTCATCATCATCAAGAGAGATGAGGTCCTGGTGGTGGTGCGGGTAGAATGCGGGTGGTGAGACTTTTCTCGGTTGGTGAAGATCGGGGATGGTCGGGGGGTTTATACGGTTTATCGATTTTTTCAATAGAGAGAAGTGTGTGTTGGTAATTCTTTGGGGGGTTTGGTATTTTTTAAAGAAAATTACCATGGATACGTAAAATTAGTAGAGGATTTTCTAAAAAAAATATGTCGCAGGTAAGGTTTTATTTCCCGGTTTTTTATTCGGATCCGATTTTTTTTGGAACGTTTCCAAGGTTTTATTTTTAGAATTTTTTGGGGAGAGAGTTTTAAAATTGTATATAAAAAAATGATGCACAGGAGAAAAGTGAGCATTTTATTTTATTTCCATGGTTACTAAATTAATATAAAATCTGTTTCCATATAGGGATCCGCGGATTCCACGTACAGCCAGCCCTCCTCGGATTTGTCATTGGTAACTGTTTTTTCTATTTATTTCCATGGTTACTAAATTTTAAATAAAAATCCCAGGACGAGGAACGGGAAGGGCTGCGGCGTGAGACGGAACGACAGGCCATTGCTCAGTTAGAAAAGGCCAAGGTTTGCTCTATTAAAAACAAATTGGTTGCCATGGAAATATAAAAAAATCCTAAAATTGCAGTCCAAACCGGTGGCATTTGCGGTCCGGACGAACGTTTCGTACGAGGGGACGATTGACGATGACTCGCCCGTCCACGGCAGCGCCATCTCCTTCGGCGTCCGCGATTTCCTTCACATTAAGGTCAGCATAGATACTAATTGTTGCCATGGAAATAAAGACTTAAAAAAACCATGGAAACCACATAGGAAAAGTACGACAACAACTGGTGGATCGGTCGTTTGGTGCAGGAGGACAAGCCCGACGTGGGCTTCATCCCCTCGCCCGTCAAGCTCGAAAACCTCCGGATGCTTAACTCCCAAGCCACCGTTCGAAACTCAAAAATTTACGCTTCCTCGTCCACGAATAGAAACAACTCAACCACCAATTTGGGTTGGGTTAATATAATTATTTTTTTTCGTTGCCATGGAAACTAATAATAAATAAATGTAGACCACTATGGCGACACGACGGGGGGGGAGGACTCTGACTCGCTGTCGAAGGTGAAAATGGGGAAGAACGAGCACAAACGGAAGCCGTTTTTCAAGAAGCAAGAAAACATTCCGCCGTACGACGTCGTGCCTTCCATGCGACCCGTCGTCCTCGTCGGGCCCTCCCTCAAGGTGGGTCAAGCGTAGTTGCCATGGTTACTATTTATTTTTTATTTATTAAAATTATTTCCATAGGGCTACGAAGTGACGGACATGATGCAGAAGGCGATATTTGACTTTCTCAAGCATAAGTTTGAGGGGAGGTATGGAAATTTAATTTATGAATTTAGTAACCATGGAAAAAAATTAACCGTTGTCATGGAAACCCCAGAATAATAATAACCCGGGTGACTGCGGACATTTCCCTGGCGAAGCGTTCCCTGCTGAACAACCCGTCCAAGCGAACGCTGATGGAGCGCACAAACTCGCGCTCCTCCAATCTCGCGGAGGTCCAGGCGGAAATCGAGCGCATTTTCGAACTCGCGCGGACCTTGCAGTTGGTCGTTTTGGACTGCGACACCATAAATCATCCGAGTCAGCTGGCCAAGACTTCGCTAGCCCCGATCGTGGTTTATCTCAAGATTTCCAGTCCCAAGGTAACGCAATTTAATTGGTTGCCATGACAACTCAATAAAAAAACCTTGACGACTAACGCAGGTCCTCCAACGCCTGATAAAATCCCGCGGAAAATCCCAAGCGCGCTATCTCGGCGTCCAAATGGTCGCGGCTGAAAAACTCGCGCAATGTCCCCCCGAAATGTTTGACGTAATCTTGGACGAGAACCAGCTGGAAGAAGCCTGCGAGCACCTCGCCGAATATTTGGACATTTATTTCACAGCCACGCACCCGCCCACGCCGATCACCCCGCCCACCGGACTACCCACAAGACCACACCCCCAGCCACACCCTCAACAACAACCACACCCCTCTCAGCAGCAACCTCATCCCCACCCCCAGCAGCAACAACTACATTATCAACAACAGTTTCCACAGCAACCGCAACAACAATTTTATCCTCAGCAACAGCAACAACATTTTCCTCCAATGAAACAATTTCCACAGCAACCACAACAGCAAATGTTTCCACAGCAACAATACCGTCAAATGCGTGGTGGTAACTATGGAAACAGTGATTTGGAGGATTATGATGAAGGGACGTTTGACCAATTGACATCTTGGATGCCTCAGCAACAACAACCTCTGCAACAACCACCACCGCAACCGTTTCCAAGGCAACAAAGAATGAATAATTATGCACAACAATTTGATGCTATTTAATTCTTTTTTTCTTCTCTAATGTTTTAATTTCTATGGAAAATTTGTGCCTCAAAAATTTAAAAATAATAAAGACAAAATTTAATTGGGAATTTTCAGGCGCGCGCGTGCGCTGTGTTTTATATATAAAAAAAAATCAATATATCGATTTATTTCCATAGAAACATGTTACAATATTTATTTATTATTTCACTAATTCACCATGGAAATTGTCATAATACAACAACGGAAATAAATCACCTGCCAATAGTCCACAGAGGATTTCAGGTGAGAATTTTGAGCTAATAAATTTCCATGGTTACTCTTAATTTTTCATAAAAAAAATCACAGATATTCCTCTTGACAACGATCCTAACCCTGGCCATCGTGATGAACGGTTCCATAGTGATAAATATATCACGTGACAGTCTAAAAATGAAAATTATCCACTTTCACCTAATTCGTCACGTGTGTTTCTCGGATTTCGTGGGGGCCGTCCTCGTCCTGCCAGTCCCACTCGCCGCCGTCGTCAAGGTGACAAATTACCTAAATTACCAAAATAAATTACTAAATTAATGTAACCACAGGGGAGCTGGACCTATTCCGACTCGAGCTGCGTCCTAATTTCCATGACCACCGCGACATGTTGGACCATGCATTTGATATCCGTCGCGATGTACAAGATCGACCGAATCTTTGCCGTTTGGCTGCCAACCGGGAAATATCCGTGCTTATCTTTGAATAGGATTAATTTTTTATTTTCGACAATTTGGGTGGTTGTCATAGCAACGTGTTGCTTAGCGACCGTCGTTTTTGGTCCAAATTATCAACCGACCCTGGCGCTGTGTTTACCGAATGTTCCGCTGATTTTTTTTGTCACTATCTTTTCGGGGTATTCAATTACTTTGGTGGTTTTTACCCTGGGGAACCTGGCCGTTTTTTTGAGGAGGCGGTGGAAAATTAGGTAATGTTTCCATGGTGATATTATTTTTAATAATTTTTAACAATTTTAATTTCCATAGCAACCCTTATTCCACAACGGACACGACCTCGGAAGACCATCCCCCACTCCACCGCCGCTACCTCCCAAAACCGCACCCTCAAATAAAACACGGCCGCACGGGTCCCATGGCAACGCGCCAATTTTTCTCCTATTTAATAAGTTTCGGACATTTAGTTTTATATCTTCCCGCCATGCTAATCGTTGGTTTGGTAGGGAAATCCGCGCTCCCTCCGATCGTCGCCTGCGCATGCGCCGTCGTCGTTTATTCCGAATTTCTAATCCAATCCATGGCAATTTTATGTCTAAGTCCGAAATTTAGAAATGAGGTGTTTTTCTTATCTTAGAAAAAAATAGTAACCATGGCAATAATTTTTTTCTTGTAAAATTACACAAATTTTTTTTATTTACTTAAAAAAAGTCGACTTTGTAACTTTGTATAAAATAAAAAAAATGGCACTTATTTAAATTTGGTAAAAAAGTTGTTCGTTTGTCTCTTTTTCGTTTCCATAGCAACCTGATTACGCATTTCTTTAATTTTTTTCTTTAACTTTAATTTGTCGTCCCCAGCAACGCCAAAGGATTTTAATTCCTTCGAGTCCATCCGCAATAGGCGCTCGCCATTTATTGAATTGTCCATAAATGGCGGAAGGAGGTGGTCCAGGTTCATGAAAATTAAATATTGGCAGACCTGTGGGGATTTTTAAAAAAAATTAGTAACCATGGAAATTAATCACCGTAACCATATATACCTGATCATTATTCCACTCTGTCGGGCTCACGGTCATCCATTTCTTCGTAACTTCCCTTTCTTCTTGATGACCACGTGACTCTTCGGCCTCCACGACGATAAACTCCTCCTCCTCTTCTAACCCCTCTTCTTCGCGATCGCTAAAAATCTGCGAGTCAGACAAGACTAAAATCTGCCTCAATTGTTCACTTAAATTTGGTTTCCTTGGCGACTGATTTGCGTTGGTTGGGGATTTTATGGGTGAAATTGCATTATTTATAAAGTTGCTCCGTGGGGTCTCCTGTTGCCATGACGAATTATTAGAATTATTTAATAACTTTGACTGTAATTCTAATTGTCGTGACGACAGGTCCAGAACAATTTGTTTCGGTTGTTGCCTTGACAACTGGTGCTGTTGCTGGGAGCGTTGCCTTAGCTCCGCTTTTCCCTTTTCTTTACTTACATCGAGTAGATAATTATCCCTCGGAATGGGAAAATCATGGTCGTTGTCATGGCAACCATTTTTATTATTACTCGTTGTCATGGCAACTTCATTTAATTTAACCGAGCTCTCCAACTCTTTCAACCGATTCTCCACGATTTCGCGTAATTTTTTCTCTTCTTCAAGTTTACAAAGAACACTGGCGAGTTCACATTTTAATTCACAATTACAAGTTTCCATGGCAACCATTTTTTCGCGTAACTCTTGTAATTCTTTTTTCATCTGGGTGTACTCGTGGGGGGTTATCGTGACCACTGGGGCTGGGGGCGGGGGAGGGGGCGGGGGGCGCGCGTTGTTTCGTAAGAGATCAGCTTGAAGGGATTGGCGGATGAGTTGCGCGACTTCAGAGTTTTCAGGGTCCTTTTCACGCCCGATTTGGAACTGGACGAGGCCCGAGGTGTTGCGGAGCACGGAGGCCGCGTAGCTTTGGGTTACTCCCACCAGGGATTTTTGGTCAACGGAGATTATTTGGTCGTTTACCTGTGGTTTCCATGGGGATTTATTAGTTATTTTGTGGTTGCCATGGTTATAACGAAAAATACCTGAATCCTCCCATCCACGGCCGCCGCACCCCCCGCGGTGATGGTTTTGACGAAAATGCCCAATTTTTCCAGCCCCGCGTCCGCGCCCACCCCCATCCCGATTATGCTCAGACCCAGGCCTTCCGTTCCTAAATTTAAAAAATTATTATTTCCATGGCAACAAAAAATATAAAATTTAAAAAAACCTTTGACGAGGTCCACGTCGAAGAGCTGCATTTTTTCGACCCGTTTTTCGAGTTCGTACTCGGCCGAGGACGCGACGGGGTCCACGTCATCGTTCCGTCGGTCGTAGATGAAAGGAGGGAACGTCGCGTGGACCTGTTGCCATGGTGATTAAAATTGTTTCCATGGTTATTAAGTAAAAATTACCATGGCGATTAATTTAAAAAAATCTCCATGACAACGCTCACCTTAATCGGCTCGGAACTCCACCTGATCCGACTGGGTTTCTTATAAAACGGTTCGTTGTCATCGTAATTCTCCGTTTCCAACCCTGGAATGTACTCCAAAGGGGAGGAGTCCTCCGAGTCCTCGGAATTTTCCTCCGTTTCCATGGCAATTTCATCCTCCTCCGTGACGACGGGGATTTCCTCGGATTTGTTTTCCATGGGAACCGTGTCGTACTCGTTGGGGGTTTTTTGTGGGGCTTCCTCAAGGGTGGTGGTTTCCATGGCGACCACGGGAGCAGTTTCCACGACCACGCCCACCACATTTTCCACGACACTGCACTCCTCCTCCCTCTCTTTGGTCTCATTAATTTTGTCCAAAATAATCTCCTCACTCTCTTTAAAAGCATCAATCACGGTGATGTCCTCCAAACTCGTCGTCGTCGTGGTCGTGGTTGCTATGGAAACCTCGTCGGTTATCTCAAATTCCACCCTCTCCGTGACCACACCCCTTTCCGCCACGCCCCCATCGGTCGCACCCCCCACCCCCTCAACACCACCCACACTTGGCCCCTCCCCCCCCACGACAACCTTGTTGAAAACCACCGTTGCCGTGGAAACCTTTTTATCGTCCAAATTAACCCACGTCGTTGTCGTGGAAACATCATTATTTTCCACAGAATTACTCGTCGCCGCTGGACTAAAATGCCTCCCCCAATTCCTCTGTTTTTCAATTAATTCCCTGGAATTTAATTTCTTCGTAGGCGACGTGGGTTGCTGTGGCAACGTCCGATTTATCAATTTCGGTGGCGGAATTGGCTTTAGAAATTTAACGTTTGTATTTGTAGTAGATTCCAATTTTTCAAATAAGGCCTTCGCAGAATGGAAACGGTTTTTATTCTCTAAATTATTCACCGTTTCCATGGTTACTTTAGTAAATTAAAAAAATTCCAAAGTTGTCATGACATTTTTTTTAGCTTCGTTTTGTTATTGATTTTTTTCTCTGCTGTCTCGAAAAATGCAAAAGTGGTTTTGATTTGTGTGGTTGAGGTGATGCGCGGTAGGTGGCGTGAGGATATGCATTTTTTTAAATTAATTACCATGGTTACTCGTTTTTTATTTTTGATTTATTATTTTTCAGTCGTCATGACAACGTACAAATACAAAAAACAATTAAGCTTTAGAGTCTTGAAGTTTAATGTATTCAAGGACTTGGTCACGTGAGGGCGATTCTCCTCCAAAGTCCTGGGAATTTATAAATTTTGCAATTAATTTTCCATGGAAACTATGAAAAACGTTCGAAAAAGTCACCTTGATAACGACGCAGGAACACCTGACGACCTTCCGAGCCTTTCCCTCCTTGTCGATTTTGCAGAGACCGGCCCATTCGCCGAGTTTCTTGTTGTTGTCGACGCGCAGGAGCGGAATGTTGTGCTCCGTGCAGAGCGCAATCACCAGCTTTTTGTACATCGCCTCGTCGCAGTCCTCCGCGAGGACACACATCAGCGCTTGCCGTCTGCAAATTATATAAAATTTTTATTTCGTTTCCATGGCAACCGAAGCAGAGTATTTTTTTAAAAATTAAATATCAGCATAGCAACAGTTCAACATTATCTCTTTAAAATGGGTAACAATTCATCTGAAGAGGGATGCCTTGGAAACATCATTTTTATATTTTAGAAAAAAATAATAATTAGTTGTCATGGCAACACTCACTTGTCCAGCGCTTTAACAGCCTCGTGAAGTCCGCGCGCGAGGCCGTCGCCGATCATGGAAAGCTTCAAAACTTCTTGAAGCGCGAGATTGATGTCGAAATCGACAACTTCCGAAACGTCCGTGGCCATCGGGGTGGCGCCGACGGGGGAATCATCTCTGCAGGGATTTATTTATTTATTTATGGTTGCCATGAAAATTAATTTTTTTAAATTACCCTTCTGCGTCAGACATTGTTTCTTATTCCTTAGCGACAGAAATCCTCCTGTTAGCAACAACGGAAACAATTAAATTAAATGATCAATTAATTAATTAAAAAAAAACTCACAATGATTAAACCCCAGGAAAAAACATAAAATACTTGAATTGACTCGTTCCACACTCAAGACACGACTGTGACGAGCATGCTTCTCTCTCATCCCAACCATCCGCCGGTTCAGCACTCAAGTTTCCATGGCAACCCAGCAGATGGCAACTCACTCCACTCCTTCCAACACGTGGTTTCTGTGAAAAACATGTGTTTTTGTTTTTGATTTTTTTTCTGTGTGTGCTGCGTAATTTTATAAAAACAAAGTTTACGAATAAATAAAAAATGTTGTACGTGTTCCAAGTCGACACCGGAACGATGCTCACTTTTGACATGAATTTGGCCTTGGAAACGTAATTTATTATTTTAATCGCCATGGAAACTATTTTTGTAATTTTAATTTTAAAAAATTCCAGGGTGGGCACGCTGCAAACGGCGATAGCAACCACCCAAGAAATCCCCCCGAATTCACAGGTTTTGCTAATTTCCGGGGGCGTTCCCTTGGTTACGGACTCACGAGTTTGTAACTATCCAGCTGGCACGGATACGAATCCTATATTTTTATTTAATAAGCTGAATATTGAGCAAAATATAATTTCGTTGGTGTCATGGCAACCTGTTAGTGTTCCCGAGAATTTGCTACAATTTGATGAATTACCAACGGGGAATTTAAATTATGGGACTTTTCATAGTTATGCGACAAAGGCGGGATCGATTATGAAGGTTTCCAAGGAAATCTTGGCCAGCTCCGAGAGATTAATCCATGACCAGTACTTACAGCATTTGGGGTAAGGGTTTGGGATTTTGTAGATTTTTTTGTGCGTGATTTTGTAATTTTTTTGTGTAATTTTGTAATTTTTTGTAATTTCGTAATTTTGTAAAGTTTTTGTAATTTTGTAATTTTTTGTGAAATTTTCTAACTTCATAAAATTTTGATTTTTTTCGTAATTTAACAAAATGAATAATTTCGCGTAATTCCCTAAAAACCAGGTGGGGCGCCGTGGTCGCGAATTTAGAAGACATCGTCAGCGTCTTTAAGAAACGTGTAGAAAAATTTGAAAACGATTTTTGGAAAGAATTCGACATTGGCGAAGGCGGATTGGAGTTGGACGTCGTCGAGGGGTGAGTTTAATTTCGTTTCCATGGTTACATGATGCTTTTTTTGTAATTTTATAAAATTTGTTCAGGTTACCAACGACGATTGAATCCTTGGCCACGATTTCCATGCCAACGGAATTATCGACAAATTCCTCAAATTTACTCCAGTGGTTGAACACGACGACGACGAATTCGAGTTCGCTGATACTTTCGTTACCTTCGCAATACGCTAAAACCATGGAGGTTTTGGACAAAAGTGTCATCGAGGGGTTGCTCAAGGTGGGTGTTTGAAAATGGGCGTGCTAACTTTGGCATGGAAATTGGCACAGAAATTGGCACGTCAAAAAATTAGCACAATTAAAAAAAGTGATTTTTTTGTATGCTTGATTTTTGTGCTAAAAATTGGCACAAAGTTTGGCATGCTAATTTTGGCGTGCTAAAAATTAGCATAGAAATTTTTTTGTTTTTGGGTTTTTTTTTGTTTCTGGGGGTGGTGGGAAATTGGCGTGCTGATTTTGGCACGGAAATTGGCAGAGAAATTGGCGTGCTAAAAATATTGGCACAACTTTTAGCACAAAAATTAACATAAATTTTGGCACAACTTTTAGCACAACATTTTAGCACAAATTTTAGCACAAAAATCAGCACGCCAAAATGTGTGCCAAATTTTAGCACAAAAAAAACTTACCAAAACCTCCCTCTCTCACTCTACGTAGGACTCCACTTCGACAATCTCCAAGTCCACGCTCCCCTCCATGAAGCAAATCAAAGGCCTCTCGCACCGGCTCTACTCCCTGGACCAACTGCTGCTAGCCTCGAGATCCACCATCGGGGATTCCACCACGCTCTGCGCCTCCCTCTTGGCGACCACCCAGCGCGCCACCTCCCTCGCGGACAACAACATCCTGCCCACCCTCAGCGAGTCCCACTTGAAACAGCTCCACGCCATGGTCGAAAACCTGCTCAAAATCCAGGACATCAACAAAAGGTGTTCCAAAGCCAAGGAGGAACTGCTCGGAAACCTGAACACCCGGCTGAAATGGGTCATTTTCGTGCAGAAGCAGATTTCCGAGCTTAATTTGAAATTAAGTGTTTACTCCGAGGCTCTGAGGAAGTTTAAGAATCTGAAGAGCGTCATCAAACAGGTGGGTTTTTTTAGTTGTCATGGCAACTTTTTAATAATTTCCTAATGTGTATTTCATAGTTTATCAATGTTTATGTTAATAATAAAAAATGCAATTCAATAATTTCCTTGGCAACCAATTTTTAATTTCCATGGAAAGTTTTTAATAATTTCCATGACAACCAACTAGGTGGACATTGCCTCCTCCGTCTTTGCCTCCTGCGTGGACGAGGTTGCTAGGCGACGAAATTTCGAGACCAAGTACAACCGCGACTTGATAAAAGTGCAATTAAACCTAAAACAAGACTTCCAGCACGAACGCGAGCAACGCAAAAGTTTCCATGGAAAATTCAAAAACCATTTTTTGTACAACACGCTGTTCGAAAAACTAGGTTCGGAAAATGGTTCGGAATTTTGGTGGGAAGGATTCGATCCAGAATCCGAAGAGTTTAAAAAAATGGTTGCCATGGAAATTGAGCAGAATTTGGAGAACGTCGCCATGGAAACGGATAAATTAAAGGAATGCCAAGAGAAGATTCAAAATTTGAACGAGGAGCATGCGCGTGAAATTTTGGAACTTCGCGAAAATTACGAAAAGCGAATTTGGGAGATGAAGGAAGAGTTTAAAAACGAGGTCGAGGCCGTAAAATCCAGATTTAAATTCGTTGCTAAGCAACAGCAACAATTGGAAATTATCAGCGAGACTGAAACCCCCGTGAAAATCGGGGGCCAACAACAACAAATCGAGGAGGAGGAACACGTCCCCGGAATTGTCGTGAGTGTTTTTTTTAGTTTCCATGGCAACCAATTTTTGTTGTCATGGCAACCATTTTTTTAAAATTTCCATATCAACCAATTATTTATTTATTTTAGGACTCGTTGTCACGGAAACTCTCCCTGACTTCGACTGGCCCGTGCAAGATCGGGGACCGTGTTTTATTGTATTATAATGAGAAATACGAGGCTTTCGTCGTCCATGGCAACAACGGCGGCTCCGTGCATTTCGTCCACACGGAAAATGCCATGGAAATGAAAAAAGAGTTTTGCTACCTGGGCAGCGTGCTCGACAAGGAATACTGCGTCGCCAGGAGGGTGAGTTTTTTTAAAAGTTGCCATGGTTACATTTTATTATTTCCATGGTTACTCATCATGAATTTTCCGTTTCCATAGGCCCAAAACCGATACAAAGTTCCACAAGGATTCCACTTTTACAGAGTTAAAGTTTTATTAGCAGAGAATTTTATATTAAATTAATTGCCATGGAGATTTTTATATTTATTTATTTATATAAAAAAATTATTTCCATAGAAACCACATTTTATTTTTATTTCATAAAAAAAATCACTTCAACTTAAGTTTGGCAAACTCGGAGCAAATTTCGATACATTTTTCCACGTTCATTGCGGAGCTGCCTTGGACCTGAGCGGATTCCGCCTTTCCGCCGCCTTTGCCTTGGAGTAATTCCGCCACCTGGCCCACCCACTCGTTCGCCTTGAGGCCTTTCTCCACCGCGGCGGGAGGGACCTGGGCCATCACGTAGACTTTTGTGGGGGACTCCACGGAGATGAACAGGGCGGGTTTCCAGGGGGACGCGGCTTTCACTTGGCGGAGGCCGGCGTCAAGGGCCTGCAAGGAAATTGGCAGAGGAATTAGCACGGAAATTGGCACACATTTTAGCACAAATTTTTGGCACGCCAAAAATTAGCACGAAAATTTAGCACAAATTTTTAGCACACCCCCAAAAAAACCCAAAAACCCACCTTGGCACTCGCCCCACTCTGCAAAATCTTGACATAAAACTCCCTCCCCTCCTCCTCCACCATGATCCCTTTGACCTGTTCCACCACACTCAGCACGACCTGCGCCTTGGCCGCCTTGTCCTCATCGTCCAAAATTTTCCTCAATTCCTTCAGCTGAGCCCTCAACTCGTCCTTTTTCCACTGCGAAATCACGGCCTGGTTCAACTCCTCGCCCATTTCCACAATCTTCTTGGACCAGTCGGCTTTCGGGCCCTTTTTAATTTCCGCCACTTGCTGGATCATCAAATTCGCCTTGTTTTCTGCCCGAGCGGCCTCCGGACCGGTCAGGCCCACGATGCGACGGATCCCCTTGGCGATGGCTTCCTCAGATGCGATCACGAAGGAACCCATGTGCGAGGAGCGGAGGAGGTGGCTGCGGAATTTGAGGGGAGGTTAAATTGGTGTGGAAAAAAAAGGGTGTCAAAGTTTGTGCTAAAATTGGCACGCGGAAATTGGCAAATTGCTAAATTTTTAGCACGTCCGAAATTGGCACAAAATTTAGCACAAATTTCAGCACTCTCTCTTCAAAAAAAACTCACGTCCCCCCGCAGAACTCGACGCTGAAATCGACCCCTTTCCCACCCGATGGATCCCTTTCGAGCTCCTCCACGTCCACGCCGATGCTCACGACTCGCACGGGGTCCGGATAGGCCTCGTTGAACACGGCCCTCAAACCTTTGATGGCCTTGGCGGAGGCCAAACTGCTCTCTTTCGCGTACACGACCAGGTCCTGGGCAACCACCGCGTTGCAGATGGATTCTGCGTCTTTGACTTGTTTTGAGGTGAGGGCGGCCTTGCTGCTGAAGTCTGTGGATTTATTTTTTATTAGGTGAGGTAATTTTTTAGGGACCGTTCATAAATTACGTAACGGGAAAATCGTGATTTTCTAGATCATAACACGCGTAAAATATATCCCCTCCCGGCTACACAATTTATGAACGACCCCTCAGACCAAAAAAATTAATCTTAGGCGAGAAAAGCCCACCAAATCTAAGTCTATCCGGCCCCACATGGCTCCCCTTCTGCTCGGGCTCCGCCTCCAGCACCCCCCTCAACGCGAAATTGAGCACGTGCGTCCCCGTGTGATTATTCATGATTTGCTTCCTCCGATTCCCGTCCAGATGCAGCTCCACGACGTCCCCCACCGTGAATTCACCCTCCGTCACGGTGCCATAGTGACAAATATATCCTCCTCGAGATTGAGTGTTGGTGACGATAAATTCAGCGTCGGACGTCGTCGAGGTGATGAAACCCTCGTCGTGGATTTGCCCACCCGCGTCGGCGTAGAAGGAGGTGGAGGAGAGGATTAGGATCGTGGGGGTGGAGGATTGGGGGGCCACGGGGGTGAAGGTCGAGGGTTGGCGGATTGCGAGGAGGGTGGCGAGGTGAGGGGGGAAGTCTGAAAGGGGGGAAATTTTGGGTAGTTTTTTAGATAATTTTTAGGTTGATTTTTAGTGTGTGCTAAATTTTTGTGCTAAATTTTTGGCGTGCCAATTTTTGTGCCAAAATTTAGCATGAAATTTAGCACGCCAATTTCTCTGCCAATTCTTGTGCCAAAATTTAGCACACCATAAACTCACCATACTCCTCCCCACCCCCTTCCCCCACTTGATACAGATACTTCCCCTGGTCCTCCGTCCTCTGCACGCCCCTCCCCTGCAACTCCCCGATGGAATGGACATCCAACCCCAGTCCAACCCCTTCATCCCCCCCCATTTTCCCCTGGCTGATCATCACGGCCCTTTTCTTAGCCTCTTCATAACCCTCCAAATCCACGCTCAGCGATTTCTCCTCGCACATCAGCTGGGTCAAATCCAGGGGAAATCCATAAGTGTCGTACAGTCGCCAAGCAACGTCTCCAGGTAGGAATTTCGAGAATTCCAATTTTCCTATGGTGCGCTCCAACAGCGCGCGGCCGCGGGTTAGAGTGCGCATGAATTGGGCTTCCTCCTCGTTTATTATCGTCATCGTCGTGGTGGGGGATTTGAGGAGCTGTGGAGTTAGGGTAGGAATTACTTCGCTAAGCCCGAGGTGGAGTGGTGGGTTTAATCAGTGTGTGGTGGGAATCAGACACACACACCGGTTACATAATCCCTAATTCGAAAATTACCTCCGGAAATGTCCCCCCCAAAATCTGGCAAACCACCCCGACCAACCCCGCGAAATCCCCCCTCTTCGCCCCCAATTTCTCAATAGAATACCGGATCCCCCTCCGTAAAATCCTCCTCAAAACATACCCCCTCCCGGTGGAGTCGGGTCGGCCCCCATCCGCCAGCGCGATGGTCAGGGTACGAATGTGATCCGCCACGACGCGGTACGCCATGTCCGTGCCTTGCGTGTCCTCGGGGGCGATGCGACCATGGTAAGTGGGGGTCGTGGGGGACCACTAGATTTGGGAAAAAATGATTTATCGTTGCCATGGAAACTTAAAATTAATAATTCTCGCTCATCTCACCTTCTTGATCTCCTCAAAAATCGGAGTAAAAAGATCCGTGTCATAATTTGACCTATGCCCTTGCACCACGGAAACGATCCTTTCCAAGCCCATCCCGCAGTCAATGTGCTTTTTGGGGAGGGGTCGGAGCGAGGTGTCCGCCTCGCGGTTAAACTGGATGAAGACCAGGTTCCACACCTAAGAAAAATCAATTTTTAGAATATTTTTCTTAAGCCCAGTTTACACTTCACAATTACCTCCAGCACATCCGGATCGTCCATGTTGACCAAATGGGAGGCGTCTCTATCGCCAATCCTATCGAAATGGATTTCCGAACAGGGTCCGCAGGGGCCCGTGTCACCCATCTCCCAGAAATTGTCCTTCATCGATCCGGGGAGGATGTGGGTGGGGGGGAGCCTATTTTTTTTATTTTTAAATTTAGTATTTTTTCTCAGGTGAGCTGATTTTTCTTAGGTGTGAGTCCGTTACCCTAAAGCCTCCCAAATCCCCCTGCACTCCTCATCCGGCTCGAGCCCGGCCTTTTCATCCCCACCGAAATAGGTGACATACAGCCGGTCCTTGGGGAGGGCCAAAGTCTCCGTCAGCCACTCCCACGACCAGGTGCAGATCTCTTTTTTAAAATAGTCACCAAAGGACCAGTTCCCGAGCATTTCGAAAAACGTGTGGTGGTAGACGTCCTTTCCCACTGGGGATTTTGGATTTAAAGCGGGGTTTATAGTTTTGGAAAATTGTGAATTGTACAAAATTTGGTAAAGTGTAAACACGGCTTAATTTAAAAACTTACCATCCTCCAAATCGTTATGCTTCCCCCCGGCGCGGATGCATTTCTGGGTATTAACCACACGGGTGAGTTTCGCTAAAAAAAACGACGGAAACCGGATCAAACAGAGTATAAATCGGGCTTTAAAATAAAAATTAAGACAACGGACCCATGTCGCTTCCGGGGTCGACGGTGCCTAGAAACACGGGTTTGAACTGGTTCATGCCCGCATTGGCGAAGAGGAGCGTGGGGTCGTCGTGCGGGATCACGGAGGAGGAGTGGACGTAAGAGTGGGAGTGTTTCGAGGTGAAGAAGTTTATGAATGAAGAGCGGATCGTGGGGGTGTCCATCGTGGAGGATTTTTGCTTTTTGGGTGATGTAATTTTGGTGAGTGACTGAGCAGATGGACGATGTGAGAGAGTAGAGAAAGTGTGTGAATGTAAAGTTTGGTTGCCGGGTTTGGGTGAGGGGTAAGGTGGGATTTTTGTAGGGAATTAGTAATTTTTTTGGGGGGGTGAGTGAGGGTGGTGGGTTTTTTTGGGGTGTGTAAATTTATGGGGGGGGTTGGATTCTACTGCAAAAATTGCTAAACCAAAAAAAAGTGTGCAAAAAGATCTCGCAATCTGCAGGATTCGAACCTACGCGGGGAAACCCCATTGGATTTCAAGTCCAACTCCTTAACCACTCGGACAAGATTGCTTTTGGTTAATTCACTCGGCTAATCCTCCTGTTTAGCTCAGGGTTTAATTCTTAGGTTATGCAGAATTGGTTTGAATTTATGATGACTCAAATTTTCATGGAACTTCGCCGGGCCCGAAAAGGTGCTCATCAATAAATAGTTATACACAAAAATTACAGTCTCATCGATTTATTGAACCTCCTCCTCCCCCCAAATAATTAATTAACACTCCAAAAAAAAACCCTCAAAGATCGTCAAACTCATCCGAGTCCGAGTCCACCCTGGTCCGCCGCCGATCGAACTACATAAAAAAATTAATTAACAGACGGACAGTCACCCGATTAGATAAGACTCCACTCACGTTAACCCTCATTTTCTCCCCCGACCCGCCGCTGACCTTCTCGAGAAGTCCGATCAACTCGTCTTCGCCGATTTTCCCCCGCAGCTGACCCATCCGCGCCATTTGAATCAAGAGGTTTTCCACCGCGGCCGCTTTCGAGGGTTTCGCGAGCATGAGGGTGTTTACTACGTGGGAGTAATTATTTAAATAGTTAGTTAATGCGCAGGTCTCTATGGAAACAATTTTTTTCTTAAGCAGTGGCGGCGGAAGCCATGGGGGACAATTGAGCTACTATTCCTATCTCACAATGGTAATGATGTCCCCAAAGTCCCCACCAATTTCCGCCGCCACTGATTTATAAAAATAGAAAAAACCTCACATCTCGCCCTCGCGGGTTGGTCCAAAACTTGTGATAAAATCTGGTTTTTCATCTCCTGCTGCTGCTGCTGCTGGTCCTCTTTTTCTTGAGCAGCCGCCGCTGCATTGGGGGCGTGGCCAGGGGGGTTGCCAGGGGTCGTCATTTTTTAAACTAAATTTTTATGCGTATACCCACGAGAAAAAGAGAATGGTGTTTACTTGAAAGTTCAAAAAAACCCACTTCCCGCGTGAAAAAATCTATGCCAAAGAATGAATCACTTTATTACCAAAATTAATATCAAAAAATATACAAAAAACTAAACCCCCAATTTAATCCCCCCCACGACCTCCCCCAAATTCAACCCCAAATCCACCTTAACCCACGTGACGTCTAATTTGATAATCTGCAAAAATTTAGGCGCCACAGCCGCGAGGAGGTTAATTTGCTGGATTATTTCGCTCCGCAGCGCGCCGTTGCCATAGGAATGAACGCAGCGCTCCACGACAACGTCGAAAAGGAGGGAACATTTTTTCTCTAAATTGAACATGTTCCGGAGAATGGGGACGAGGCGGGGGAGTTTTTCCAGGAGAGAGGCGCGGTGGAGGGTCGCGGGGGGGGTTGTTAGGGTCGCGGCCAGGGTCTGGGTTTCGCGCGCGCGGATCTATATGGCGGGGAGATTTAAATTATTTTTTTGAAGTTCCCGCTTATGAAAAAATTGACTCACCTTCTCGATAAGCGCCCGACTAACCCCTTTCAACTTGTTTAAATCCACTTTTTGAGTGGGGTTAACTTTCGCGGGTTGCGCCACGTCGCGCTGCTGGTCACGTGACTCCGCGCAAACTAGTCCCTTGGCGCGGAGGATCAACTCCTTGGCGCTGACCACGGTTTCCTTGGGGATTTCCGGGAGTGGAGAGGGTAAAATCGGGGGGAGTTTCTCAAGTGGGAATTTCGGGTGGTAGCGGGTTATTACGGTGTCAGGGGGGAGGACCAAAGGGGGGGTCAAGGTTAGCAGGAATTTCTATGGAAACAATTTATTAGCGATAATAATAATAATTAAATTAAATTAGACGCACCTCATGCTCCCTCAGGACAATTCCCCTCAAAGCCCCTTCAAACTCGGTTTTTCTCCCGTGCAACCCGTGCTTGTGTCCATGGGGGAATTTCACTACGAGCTCCTTCCCCTCCCTCGTGACCAAATAGCAATTGGGCAAGACGGTGAGGAACTGGGCGAGGTGCGACTCTCGGAGGGCCACGCTCCGGGTGAGTGAGGCCACGCCGTGACGGATTTTGGGGAAGGTCGCGAGTTCCGAGCGGTTGGTGAGGATCGAGGTGATGGTTTCCATGGAGGTGAAGAGGGTGAGGAGCAGGGTGGAGGGGTGGGGGAGGGGTAAGAGGTTGGGGGTGGGTGGGAGTGATGGTGGTGATGATTTCGGAAGAAGGACGGGCTGCTTATCTAGTAAGTGGCGGAACCTGTGGAAATACGATTAAAATTAATTATCGTTGTCATGGCAACGTGAAAATATACCCACTTTCTAAAGGCTGGTGGCTTCTTCTCCTCCTGGATGTCCTTTAATTTAACGGGGGACGTGAAAATGTCGGATGGTTTTTCCTTAATTTCCTTAACTGGCGACTTCTCTTCACTGGCAATTTCCAGTGGCGGCTCCTCCTGCACCCCACTTTCCTTCTTCCTCCCACTTTCTCTCCTCCTCTCCGCCTCCCTCCACCTCCCGAGCACGCCCCTTAGCTCCTCCAGCTTCCCCGCCTTGCTCAGCAGTTTTTTTAAATCCGGCGTTTCCTTGGTGACCGCGTCGTCGGACCTTGGTCGTTTTTTCTCCGGGGACAGCATCCCTTTCTGTACAAAGGAGACTTTATTCTGGATTTTCTTTGGGGGTTCGAGGTCCGTGGAGGTGGGGGACAGGCGACGTTTCTTGGTTTTGAAGTAGGTTGTGAGCAGGGGGGTCGTGACCGTGGGGGTGGTGGGTCTTGAGGGGGTCGTCATTTTTTTCTATTAGTTTTAGTGACGATCACTATGGAAAAATTAAAAATTAAAAGTTGTGTGAAGAGGGAGAGAGTGAATTTCTGGAGGGAATATTGGACAATGGAGTCTCACGTCTCACCTCTCGCGGGAATAAACACGTTGCCATAACAACATTTTTTTACACTCTTGAAAAAATAATATTTATTTACACTCTTAGAAATTAAAAATCCTCTAGTCATGCACCTGCTGCTCCTCCTCCTGGTAACCATGACAACCATGACGTCCACCTCGCGAGTCCTGGAACTCAGCGACCGTTTCCTTGACATCCGGAAGGATGGGATTTGGTTGATCAAGGTGAATAATTTAATTCCCTATCCAACTAGTTAATTTCAATTAATTGGTATCCGTAGTTCTACGCCCCCTGGTGCGGCCACTGCAAAAAACTCGAGCCAATCTACGCCCACGTCGCCCAAGCGCTGTCCTCCACCCCGGTTCGCGTGGCCCGAGTCGACTGCACCCGATTCCCTTCCGTAGCAAAAGAATTCAAAGTCGATGGGTATCCAACGGTCATGTTGTAAGTCACTTCCACTTTTCTTAGCTCCTCCTACTTTTTTTCAATAACTCCTCCCACTATTTCCATAGCGTCAAACCCACCACGACCCACACCTACACCGGGGACAGGACGGCCTCCGAAATGATCTCATACGCCAAGAGGATGATGGGCCCCGCGGTGAGGGAGTGGCAAGGGGAGGAGCTTGACGAAACCTCATTGGTCTATCAAGGAGAAAGGCGGGGCCAATGGTGGGAGGCCTTTGAAAGAGTGGCCAATCAAAATCAACATTCCGTCACGTTTTTTGTTAGGGATGCGGGGATTGGTGGTGGTGGGATGGAGGTGGGTGTTTTTTTTTTAAATAGGAAATGGGAGGGGCTTAATTAATGAAAAATTAAATAGATAACGCTTCACCACACCCCCTCGGAGGACACGCCCCCTTTGAAATTCCATCAAGACTCCTCCTCCTCCGAAGATTTAACAGTATCACTTCTAAATTTCCTCACCCGAAACAAGTTCCCAAAGTTCTTAAAAGCCACCCGGAACAACTTCCAGGAACTCCTCGCTACGAAAAAACTCATCGTGATGGGCGTGGTGGAAGAGGACAAATTAGGAAACTTAAACCATGAACAGGCCGAGTTTTTGAGGTTTTTCGAACAGTTCGTCAAGAGCGAAGAGGGTGATTTTGAGAGGTAATTTATTTTATTGTCATTTCATTAAATATAACATCACAATTGACTAAAAAATTAACTAATTTCCAGCCACCAATTCTGCTACACCCCGACCCCCTCCATCGCCAACTCCATCGCCATGACGACGCTCCCCCTCCCCTCCATCCTCGTAATCAACTCCACGACCTACACCCATTTCATCTTATCCAGCGAGATAAACTCCTCCTCCCTCCACGCCTTCCTCGAACAGATCCACCAATCAGAGTTGACTCCGCTGGGAGGCTCCTCCCTCTGGACCCGCCTCTATCGGAGCTATTACGAGCTGACTACTAATTTAGGGTTGATGTTCAGTGGGAATCCCGTCTTGACGACGATTCTGTTTGGGTTGCCCTTTGGGTTTTTGAGCTTGATTTGTTACTCTGTTTTTTGTGGGGGCTCAGTGGAGGAGGAGGGGGATGGGGAGGAGGATCATGAAAAGGAGGATTAGAGGAGGTGGAAGGTGTAGTTTAAGGTGGTGTTGTTGTCCCAGTAGGTTTGGGTTGGGGTGGTGTAGCGCAGGGCGAAGGTGAAGGTGGTCCATGGGGAGGGGTGAGTGGTGGGGTGGGGGAGGGGGAGGCAAAAGGAGAAGGTGTCGATCAAAGGGGTGTGCTCGTGGGGGGCGTAGGTGCACTGTTAAGTTATTAAGTGGTTATTTTATATTGATTGTTAATTAAGAGAGTCAATTACCTGTAACTCCCCAAAATCCAGCCACTGATTGTAAGAGTATCTGAGATAAACGGCTTTCTCAAATGATAAATTGACGACTTTAATCACTCCGGTGATCGTTAGTGAATCCGCCGTGCAGCTGGCGAGCTTTATCTTTTGGGTGTGTAACAAATCGGTAAAGTTGGGTAAGGTGGAGGGTTGCGGGAAGGTGGGTAGGAGCAAAAGTGAGGATGGCGGAGATATAATTTCCAAAGGAGGAAGGTCCAAATCTACATAAGCTCTGGGAGGGATCAGCGGGAGCGAGTCCAGGATGAAGGTCTATAGAAATATCGTTATTTACAGTTTATTAAATAGAAATACCCCAAATCCCAAAGCACCTTAACATCCACGAGGTCCAGGCCTAAACAGTCGGCGAATCGGACTAGTTTCTTGTGTGAGGATTCCTTTTCGGTGGTTTGACCCAGTCGGAGGGAGGAGGCGCGCTTTACTGTTTTTGATGAGTCGGGTGGTGGTGGGAAGAGGAAGTAGGTGTCCAGAGGTGATTCAGTGGGTGATGGAGTCGTGGGTGTCAGGGTGCAGGATCCTATGCCGGAGGAGGTGCAGGAGCTGGACCAGTCTGTTATCTCTGTGTTTAAGAGGGAGAGATGTTTTTTATTGTAATTGATAATAAATAAATTTATATACTCGTACCCATTTCCGTGGTGGCCATCGTATCGCAAGCGGGTGTAAAACTGTGAACGTGTGTGTGTGGGAGAGAGTGGAGAAAGAGTGGGACAAAAACCCGAGCACGATCACCACCACGACCTTGAACTTCATCTCTCTCCTCGTCGGATCGGAGTCGGAAGGCTGCCAAATATCTCTCAAAAACGCTAAGAAAAAGATGGACACACAATTCCTCAACTAACAAAAACTTTATTACTTCAAACTAAACTTTACTTTATTAAATCTAAAAAACAATACCCTAAAGATAAAAAATAAATTATTATGACACACTGTTCAATAAAATCACAACGAAAAAAAACCTAATCAACTACTAGCACTCTGAAGAACCAGCTTCTGTAATTAAATTTTGTGTATCCTTCCCCGTGTCCACCTCCGCTATTTCAAACTGCTTCGGCTTATTTAATATCGTCGTCGTTTGGGGGGTGATTATCGCCGCTGAAGAAGAAGAAGTAGATCCCGATGGTAAATTAGGGTCCAGCTCGTACATTGGATTACTAAAGTCCGACGTGGAGTGCGGTTTCGTATCCTGTAATTGCATTTTAATCGTTAGTTTCCGCATTAATTAAAGATAGTAAAACACTTACAATTTGCGATTGTTGCTGTCCAAACTCCACATTGCTCCCCTGCCTAAAACTGACCACACTCCCCGCACTAAAACTCGTCCCCCCACCCCCACCACCACCCAAAGGCTTCCCAAAATAGTTCCTTTTCCTCAGAACAACATAAAAAGCAGCGGCCAAGAGAGTTAACAAGATGAAAACGATGGGCGCCACGACCCAGCCGGCGCTGAAGGAATCTTCCCCAGTGGCGGAGACGCGCTCTTTTGCGACTAAATTTTCGCAGTTTTGTCCAGAGTAAGAGTCCAGGCAGTTACAGCTCAGTTCTGATTTGAGTTCCATGCAGATCCCTCCGTTGAGACAGGAGCAGGGGAGTGGGTCCGGGCGGGGTCTATGGATTATTAGTTTTTAGCTGGGGTTACTATAAAAAATTAATAAAAAATTACCTCTCAAAGGGAGCATCGCAACTCCCCCCATTAACCCCCGCAGCCCCCTCGGGACACCCGCACCTCGCCCCCCCAGGAATGAGCAAACACAAATGAGTACAATTAGACTTCCCGCATGGATTCCCTCCTAAAACCTGCTTCCTCGAATTCCACACTAACACGGAAGTAGGATTAACCAAATTCCTCTCCATCATGACACTCACACCCCTTCCGAACTTGTCTTGACGGAGTAATTCCCCAGAGTCACGTGTCACCCAGTAGATGGAGGACTCAAAGACGTCGAGGTTTATCGGGTGTCGTAAGTTGTCTGATTGTAAAATTGTTATTCGGTCCTGTCCGTTGGGTTTCATGGATTCGATTTTTGATAATTTTGTGTCCACGAAATAAATGCGACGTTGGTAGTGGGAATAGTCGATGGAGAGGCCGGTGGGGTAGCGGATGTTGGTGGAGATGAGGGTGTAGCGTTTGGAGCCGTCCAGCCAGGCGGTGTCGATCTGTAATTTATTAATTATTCACCACTATTTCCTCTAAAATAAATAAACTATTCACCTTCGGCCCCCCACCCCCCGCATCCGAAAACACCATGACCCCCATCTCCGCATCAATCGCCAAACTAGTAGGAAACTCCAACCCCCCTGAAATCAAACTTTTTCTATATCTCCCATCACTACTGGCAACGCCAATCCTCCCTTTAGGCTTGGACCCACTCCGATCCGTCTCCGTCCAGTAAAGATTCCCCGTGATTTGATCAACCTTCACACAAGTCAGCTTCCCATTCGCTTTTATCTCGAGGTCCTGTCCGTAACCGATTTTACTGCCGGATTTCCTACCAGGGATCCAACTACGTTTGATCGTCCGGTCGTAGGAGTCCGCCCAGTAGATCAGGTCGCCGTAGATATCGAGGGATTCCACGCGTTTCTCATTGCGGATTAGTTGGGTGGTTTTTTGTGGTGTTAGGGTTAATATCTCCGGGCCGTTGGAGACGTAAATCGTGGTTTCCACCGTGGAAGTGGAGTGACACGACCCGTGGAAGCCGATGTTTGGGGTGAACTCGGGGAGGCAGGAGCAGGAATAAGTCCCATTGAGGTTAGTGCACTTTTGGGAGCATTGGTTTAGGTTTGAGGTGTCGCACTCATCCACGTCGGAGCACTCTTTTGGGTTGGTTTTTGAGGTGATGTAACCGTGAGAGCAGGTGCAGATGTAGCCGGAGGTGAGGTTCGTACAGGTGTCCCGGCAGTAGCCGTTTTGGGTGGAGCAGGTTAGCTTGTGGTGGCAGCCGACTAGGGGATTTTTAATAAGGGTTATTAACTATTCAATTGGTGAAAATAAATAAAGTACTCACGCTCATCCGAGTGATCCCCACAGTTATCCTCCAGATTACACACCACAGATTTATCCACACACTTCCTGTTGGCACACCTAAACTCCCCCAGCCCACACTGCCTCAATTTACTACTGCACCCCTGATTATTCTCATCACTCGCCACCCCATCATTACAATTGTCCCTCCCATCACAGACCTGATACCTCGGGATGCACTTGTTATTCGCACACTGGAACCTATGCAGCTTATCACACGAGAAGTTAGTACATAACCCAGGCAGCTCATCACTATTGTCCAAACAGTCATCCGTTCCGTCACAAAGATCCGTGTGACTTATACAAAGGTGGTTATTGCACTCGTATTTCTCTTTGGGGCAGTATTTCCCTTGAGGGTAGCGTGGTGGGCAGTCGAGTTCGTCGGACAGGTCGGAGCAGTCCTTTTCTCCGTCGCATTTAAAGTGCATGGCGATGCAGTGGCCGGACTTGCATTGGAATTGGGTGGAGGGACAGGTGTGGTTGGAGCAGTCTTTTTCATCGGAATTTTCTGGGTCCAGGCAGTCCTGGTCCATGTCGCAGAGGAAACGGGACGGGATGCAGCGGTTGTTGGAGCATTTGAATTCAGACTCGGAGCAGGGGCGGTAGCCCGTGGGGCAGGTGGTCAGGAGTTCGTCTAAGGGGAGAGAGTGGGGAGTTAGTGAGTAGTGAGTGGGGTGATTAAAATAATTAATTAACATACCACTGTTATCCCCACAATCATTGGAAAAATCGCACAACCACGAGTTAGGGACACATCTTCCGTTTCGACATTGAAACTCCCTTTGCGGATCACACTTCGCACAAGATTCAGGTTTTTCATCCGATCCGTCCCTACAATCTGGTTTCCCATCGCAAAATAACCACTCTGGGATGCAGCGATAGTTACCCCACGTGGGACACCGACGCCAGCCCTCGGTGCAGTTACGCTGGCGGCATTGCTGGGCGGGCTCGTCGCTGTCGTCCCCGCCTGTGGATTAGAATTGCATGTGGAGTTAGCCATGAATTAAGTGTTGAAGCGTTTAAATAACTCACAATCATCGTCGTAATCACACTTCCAGAGGACCGGGATACACTTCCCATTGTTACAAGTAAATTCCGTGTCCTTGTCGCAGGTCCGGTTGTGGCACACCGTGGGGTCCTATTTATTAATATTATATTACAAATCCACTAAAATAATATTAAAAACTACTCCCTACCTCATCACTGGCATCCCCACAATCCGCATCCCCATCGCACCTCCAACTGTTCAAAATACACTTCCCACTCGTTTTACACTTGAACTCGTTCTCCCCACAATCCGCGGAGCAAAGCGATTCATCACTGGCGTCCCCGCAGTCATCGATCGTGTCACAAATGGAAGTCGGTGAGGTGCAGTTCCCATTCGCGCATTGGAATTGACCCGTTTTACACAGGCGGGGTGGACAGGATGACTCGTCACTATTAATTTATTATTGTATTAACCAGTTAAAACACTAAAAAGTAAATATCCTCACCTCCCATCCCTGCAATCCCCCTCCCCATCGCACCTCCAATAATGCGGCACACACTTGTCATCCCCCCGCCACACCGATGCTGTCCCCTCGTACAATTAGCCACACAATTTTTCCCACTCAGAACAAACTGATTCGGACACTTGCAGCTCTCCCCTTCACTCCCATTCAACAAACAAAGATGAGAACAGCCCCCATTCCCCTCGCACCTCGAATCATCCGGGATCTGTCTCAAAGGATGGAAAACATGCAGATCATAAGGACGATGGGTAGTGTTTCTAATCACGGTCCAATCGCTCCCATTAAACTTATTACACTTGAAAACTCCTTTTAAATTCCAATCCGTGTAAAACAACGTGTCCTCAAATAAGCTTAAAGCAAACACGTGCGGGACTCTGACACCTTTTAAAATCGTTTTTCTGTTTTTACCATCCAAATCCACAACATCAATGTAGTCAAGATGGGCATCCGCAAAGTACAACCTATCATTTATATAATCAAGAGTTAACGCATTGGGCCACGCGATGGAGTTTTCCCAATTCAGAATCATCGTGAAATTACTCCCATCCAAATTCATCCTTCCGATATACGCCTGCAAATGCCAGGAGGTGTAAAATAACAATCCTTTTTTAGGATGGACAACAACCGCCCGTGGATCTTGGATATTAGATTTCAAAGTTTTTCTATTGGTCCCGTTGAGTTCAGAGACTTCTAAGGATTTAGAATGGCGATCGAGCCAGTAGAGTTTTCTTCCGATCCAATCCACTGCGAGGCCTTCTAATCCGTGGGATTCGTGTTTTATTATTGATTCTTTTACTCCGGTGGTGATGTCCGATCGGAAAATCGTTTTTGCACTAACATCAGCGTAGTAAATGTGATTGTTTCTTATATCAAAATCTAGTGCGACGACGTTCCTCAGGTCTTGTAGAATAATGTTATACACCGATCCGTCGGTGGACATGTTCCGGAGGTAATATTTGTTCGTGAAGATCAACCAGGGTCTGATCCCGTCTAACCTCTTACACTTAGATCCTATTTTATCATAAAACAACTCGTCACATTTGCAGTGGTACGATCCTGGAGTGTTGAAACAGTGCTGTTCGCAGGTGCCTAGTGTTTTGCACTCATCTATGTCTTGACATGTTCTTTTATCTTCTAATAGCTCGTATCCTTCAGTGCAGTTACAATTGAATCCCAGAGGGGTGTCTATACATAATTGGGAACATCTCCCATTGGAAATCAGACACTCGTTAACGTTACAATGCGCCGGTTCATCTGAAGAATCGATACAGTCCGCTATTTTGTCACATAGTGAAGCGAGTTCTATGCACTTCCCACCATCACAAGTGTGACCGTGGGTGCAGTTGCTCTGTATCTGCGGGCAGTTGTACTCATCCGAGTTGTCCCCGCAGTCGTTTTCTCCATCGCATTTGAATGAGGAGCGGATGCATTTGAAGTTGTTACAGGCGAATTCGGTAGGGGTGCAGGTTGGGTATGTCGAGGAGCAGGATTTTTTCTCGTCTGATCCGTCACCGCAGTCGTTGTCCAGGTCACATTTCCAGACAGAGTTTATACAGCGGCCGTTGTCACAGCGGTATTGGTCTTCGGAGCAGGGTTGGGGCGGTGGGCAGTTGTTCAGGGTGGTGTTTTCGTCTCTCTTTAGTTGGGTATTGCATTAAATGTTGCTAAACATTATGTTATAAGAAAAGGCTCACCCCACTGATGCAATCGGGGTCCCCATCGCAGACCCATTTTTTCGGGATGCACTGGCTCCTTCCCCAGGATTTATTCTCTGGGCAGTAAAACTCTGTAGAGTTGTCACACTTTCGGTTGTTGCACTGGTTCGTGGTGTCGTCCTCGTCAGAACCGTCCAGGCAGTCCTTGTCACCGTCGCAGACTTTTGGAATTAGGAGACAAGTTGTTAGAAAGTGATAATAGATTAATTAATTAAAAAAGAACCCACTGTAACTCCTCGGAATACACGCCCCATTCCGACACGTGAACAAGTCCCCAAAGCACGTTTTCATCTCGGATTTGCAGTAATCCGCCGGTTCATCCGCGCCATCCGGGCAGTCGGGGTCCCCGTCGCAGTGCCAGCTCGCAGGGATGCAACGGTGGTTCGGACAGCGGAAAGAGTTAGAGGGGCACGTCCGTTTGGAGCAGTGTAAAGGGTTCTCGTCGCTGTTGTCGCCTGTGGATTAAAGTTTTATTAGGAAATAATACAGGAAAATTAAGAAAGAAGACGCACCGCAATCATTGTCCCCATCACAAAGATAAAACGGCTCCACGCAAATGTTAGTCGTTTCGCACTTCAGATGCGTCGCGGGACAGGTTTTATTAGCGTTTCTGCAATTCATCAGACTCTCGTCGGAGGTTTTGTTGTCCTTGCAGTCGTTCACCCCGTTGCAGACCAAGGAGGAGGGGATCTGGAGATAAATAGGGATTTTAGCATGGGAAATAGAGTGAAATAAAGACTACTACTCACACAACGCCCATTGCCACAGGTGAATTCACCCTCATTACACGTGGGGTAAGTGCAGTTCATCTCGTCCGCCGATGGGGTTTCGTTGCCTGGAAATTCAGGGAGAAATTAGCAAAAAACAAACGACAAAATAAATAATAACTCACAATCCGGTTCAAAATCGCAGACCCACGAGTTGAAAATGCACCTCCCATTCCTGCACCGAAACTCATTAGCCCCACACGTATGAAAGGCACAAAAGCCCTTATCCTCATCACTGGCTACCCCATCGTTACAGTCATCCTCCCCGTCACACGTCCATAACCTTGAGATACACTTCCCATTCGCACACGCAAATTTCGACGAGTCACACGTGCTGAAATTCGAAGGCAGACACATCTTCCCATTATTCACAAGGGTAAAAGTAGGAAGACAAGTACACAGGGCAACCCCATCTCCACCAGGATGACAACTCTGCGCACATCCCCCATTATTATCCTGACATGGAGAGTAAGTGCAGCTCTGTTTTCCCCCATCAAAGACTTGTATATCCCTTGGGGACTCTTCTAATCTCTTCACGATTTCAATCATATTCGCTCCGGTGTGTTTGTCTGCGCGGTAAACCCCGCGGAGTTGGAGGTCCGTCCAGAAAATGTAGTCCTGGTGGATTGTTATTGCAAATGGGTAGATCGTCGCGGTGATGAGGACTTCACGTGAAGTGCCGTCGAGATTTGAGCGCTCGATCTTTTCACGGACCGCGTCCGTCCAGTATAGTTTGCTGTCGGGGATGTCTAGGGCAAGGCCGGAGGGTTGAGTGAGGTCAGTGGAGACGATGGCACGTTTTAACGTCCCGGCCATCGTGGAGCGGTAGATTTTGCCGGAGGTCCCGAACAGGCCCCAGTCCGTGTAGTAGAGGGTTCCACTGTTAATCATTTTTTTAGTGAATTATCAGTGGAAATAATAATTAATAAAACCCATTACTTGCACGGATGCACGACAATCGCCCTGGGCCGATCCACATGCGTGATAACCACGACGTTCCCCCCATCCAAATCCATCGCATAAATCGAGCTATTCCCACTGTCCGTCCAGTAAATCTTCTTCCCCACCCAATCATACGCAACCCCTTCTGGATTGATCCCTTTGGTCAAAACACTCACGGTCTTGGTCAAATCACTCACAGAGAAATAATTAATCTTTGCATCCGGTCGGATCTGTGTGTAAATTATCCTCCCGTCTTTATAGTCAAAATCAACACCCACGACGTTTGTTAGGTTTGTTATGGGGGCGAAGGGGACTTGGGTGTTTGTGGGGTCGATGTGGACGGAGCGGATCTCCGTGCGGGTGGAGAAGACGAGGTAGGTGGTGAGGGGCACGCAGCGGTTGTTCACCAGGGTGCCTAGGGAATACATTTTTATTAGTTTTATAATCACAAATAAATTAATAAATTATCATACCCGTGGCGCAATCGCACTGGACCCTCTCCCCAATGGCGTAGCACAACTGCTCACAAACCCCGCAGTAACTCTCCACTTCCGGTTGCGAATAGGAATCGTAGTATTTAACCGATTTCAAATTGCTCATCCCCGATCGGATCAAATCCCCCGCACCATTCCCACCACCACCACTACTATCCTTCAAAGAAAACTTAAACACCGACCCCAAATTCTTATCCGCCCAGTAAACATAGTCCCTAAAAACACTGATCCCCACAGGATTGGGCACATTCCTCTTAATCACAACCCTGTTCCCACCTTGGTAGTTAATTTTCTGAATATTATCAAACGTCGCATCGATCCAGTAAACATCATGATTATTAAAATCAATCGTTAAATCCTTAGGATTCGTGATCCCACTCGTGACTAACTCTGTCCAATTGCTCCCATCGAGCAAGGCCCTCCCGATCCGAGGGAACGTCCCGTAATCGATCCAATATAAAAATTTCTTCACCGGATTCACCGCTAATTCCCGTGGGTTATCAGAGTTTTTCTTGCTCAGAATCTTTCTAAATCCACCTTCTAAATTACAAATTTCTAGAAATGTCTCGTGCGGGAAGGCGTTTGTAAAGTAGATTTGTTTGGAGATCCAGTCGATTGTTAGTCCTCTCAGACCGTTGGAGCCGATTCCTTTAGAAATAATTTGTTGTAACTCGGTCCCATTGGGGTGGATCCTCCACAAACCATTAGTCGATCCCTTTCCGTACTCGATCCAATAAATCCACCCAGATTTCATGTATAAATCGATGTGTAGAATATGTCTATCATTGGAGTGGATGGGGACCATGGCCTCGATTGAATCATCCCCAATCCCGCGGATCCTATCTTCCTGAGCGATTATCAAGAAGGATTTGTAATTCGAACAGGTGGTTTCCGAGGTTAGTTTGTATCCTAGAGAGCAGGCGCATTTCCTTCCACGGTTGTTCGTTGGGATACAGATATGATCACAGTTAGAGTTGAGGCAACTGTTTGTGGTTGGTTGTTTCCTCCAGATCTGCATGGATTTTAGGTCCGGTTCGTTCTCGCGGAGGTTTTTGGTTTCTAGTGAGGGGAGGGAGATTATCGTGATTTTCTCGTAGACAGGGTCCAGGAAGTACAAGCGAGATTCGTGGTATTGGATGGAGATCGGGGAGGCGAGGTTCGTGGTGAGGAGGTCCGTGGATTCCGAGGTTTTTGTGGAGTAGGAAGAGATCTTTGGGGGTGAAGAGTGGGAATAATACAGGGTTTTTGTTATGGGGTCTATTGTGAGGGAGGTGCCCGGGGTGGTGAGGGTCAGGAGGGTTTTTGGGGAGGAGCCGTCCATCTGGGCGGTGGAGAGTTTTGGTGGAGTGGAGATGTGGCCAGCGTCGAGCCAGTAGAGCGTTCTACACATGGGAATTATTTTTTTAGTGTGTTTGTTAATAAATAGTAAATCAAAAGCTCACCCCTCCATTGGATCCAAACAGATCGCGTTGACCTTCCCCACTTGACTCTCCGTGTTGGACTCTCCACCTCCCAAGATGACCATTCGGTACTTGTTTTTCCCATCCACTTTTACCAGTTCTATAAGCGAAGCTTCTTTATTTCCTATGTATAAATTCCTCCCGATCCAATCAAACGCTATTGTGTAAGGTGATCCGATGAGGCCCGGGTCTTTCAGGGGGTCGAGGAATTGGGACCGGTTACCATTAGATAAAGAGTACTTGTATATCGTTCCGTTCTCAAGGGTTTCTCCTCCCTCGACGTAGTAGAGGTCTACGGTTTTAATTAATTAGTAAAGAAATTTATGAATAAATTACTATCCACCTACCCTGCTTCTCCCTATCGACCTCCAGCACCCTCCCCCCCTCGATCCCCACGATGGGTACGAAATAATTCTTATCATCGGACAAGCTCAAGTCCACAATTTGATTGCTCTTCACTAATAAAATATAAGGGACGTCTTCCTGAACGCATTTCTCCCCTTGGGTCGTGTACCCCGGTCGACAGAGGCACTTGTAACCACTCGGACTGTTTGACAGCACGCATAACTGGTCGCAGGAGACTTTTGAACAGGGGTTCTCGTAATTAAACTGTAATGATGGGTGATTAACGTGGATGGAGAGAGGTTGGGAGACGACGTGGTGGACGACGGATTGGTTCGTTCCGTGGTATTTGTGGGTGGAGAGGATACGGTTTAGTTGGCGGTCTGTCCAGTACAAAGTGTCCTCGAATAAGGTGAGGGAGTGGGCGTGGAGGAGGTAGTGGGAGGAGCTCAGCACCTAAGGGATTAAAATTATAGTGAAATAAGTCACATAAATTAATTAATAACACGCACCTGCCGCCTCCCGGTCCCATCGTAATTGCAAAAATCGATATAATCCAATTTGGAATCCGCGAAGTAGACGTGTTTATTCGCTGTGTCCAAAGTTAATCCATTGGGCCAAAAGATTTTAGTAGTGACGATGGCGGTCCTCCCCGTCCCATCCAGTGAAATCCGCTCAATCCGTGGGTTCTCTCCCCAATCGGACCAAAATAGAGAGCGGCTCCTAGGAAAATAACAATTAACCAAAAAATTCACAAAAATCCCCACTGAAAAACACCCACCCAGTATCCGGGTCCAGCACGATCCCCCTCGGCTGGCTAACATTCCTACTCAGCACAACGACCCGATGTTTCCCCCACTCGTCCGTGGCCTCCAACGTGTGCAACCTCGAGTCCACCCAGTACAAATTCCTCCCCACCCAATCAAACGCGATCCCTTCGACCAAATCCAATCCGTTGGAAATCACTTCTTTCAACTCGGATCCATTCCGGTTCACACGGAAGATTTTCTTCAGTTTCATGTCCGACCAGAAAATTATCCCACGTGACATGTCAGAGGCGGTGGCGACGACGTTTTCCACTAAAACGGGGAGTCTCTCGATGGAATGTTCGTTTAAATCGGAGAGTAGGATTGAGCGGCGGTTGGAGATCACGAGGAAGGCCAGGGTGCGGTTCAGGGCTTTGCATTTGGTAGGGGTTTGCGGAGGTGGGGTGGGGTCGAGGGTGTAGCCAGCCGTGCAGGTGCACTGGAGGATTTTTATAAAATTTTGTAAATTATTAAGTTGAAATCTTAAAAAAATCATAACGAGCTTACGAAAAACTTCCCCTTCGTATTAGTGCACCCCTGGGAGCAAAGATTGAGTTCGCACTCGTTAAAGTCCGTACAGACCGAGGTAGAGTTAGGTTCAAGAACTTCCCCCTTTGGACAAATGCAGAGCGGTCCCGTCGGGGTCTGCTTGCACATCGGCGAGTTACACGTGGTTAGTGAGCATTCAGCCAGGTCGCAGGTGGGGCCTTCGTCCGAGGAGTTCTATTTAAATAGTAAATTTAGCTTTCATTCCAATTAAAATTAGTAACTTAAACCCACCGGACAATCCACGATGCCATCGCAAATGGAGGTGATGTTGATGCACCGAGTGGATTGCAATTTCGGGCATGGCCACTCGTTCGGACCGCATTTCACGGTTTTCTTACAGGCGTGGAGTTCTACGGATTCATCGCTGTTGTCACCACAATCATCGCTGCCATCGCAGATGTAAGCGTTGTGGACGCATTTCCCGTTCCCGCATTTCCAGTAGCCCACGGAACAGGGCTTCTGGGAACAGTTGGGCGGCTCGTCGGATTTGTCTACAGATTGGATTTTTTAGTTTTATTCTAATTATGGGTAATTTAATTAATTTCCCGACCTTCACAATCGGGATTCCCATCGCAGTGCCACTCTTTCGGGATGCAAATCCCACTCTTCATGCATTTAAACTGCTTCTCCGGGTGACATTCGTTCTCCTTTACTTCCGGACAGCCTTGCTCGTCCGACCTGGGTTTTTAGAATTTAGTAAAATATACAAATGAAATAAATAATTTATAAAAAACCCACCCATTGTCGCAATCCGGGATCCCATCGCATTTGTACGATTCATGGATGCATTGTTTGAAATTTGAGCATTTGAATTGGTTCTCTCGACATGAAATGGGTGGGCAGTTGAGCTCGTCCGCTGCGGGGCTGCTCAGGGGTTTTTTGGTTAGTTTATATATTTGAATTTTTATGATGATAAAATTTATAATTATAAAATTTACCCTTGTCCAGCACCGAAACAGTCAGAGTCACCATCGCTATTTATTTTCCATTAAAAATTAGTAATTATAAATAGTAAATTTAAATAAAAACCTCACCACTTCCACGAGTTGGGGATGCAGTGGCCGCTCCCAGGACACGTAAATTGGAAATATGCACACGTTTTCTCGGCGCAGAAATCTCCTTCGTCACTCCCATCGCTGCAATCATTTTCCGAGTCGCACTTCCAGCTTTGAGGAATACATCGGCCGTTCTCACACGCAAATTGACTCGACTCACAAGTGACGTTCACGCAGCCAAGCTCGTCGGAGGAGTCGCCTGCGAATTTTAATTTCTAATTTTAGCAATTACCCAAAAAAACCATAAAAATAATCCCACCGCAATCATTGTCCCCATCGCATTTGAACGAAGAGGGGATGCACCTCCCAGTTTTGCATTGAAACTCCGTCGCCGTGCACGTCGGTTTCGTACAGTTTTTCTCATCCGATCCGTCCAGGCAGTCGTCGTCACCGTCGCTGAAATATTTCTTATTAAAATCACCCCTCAAAAAAACTAAAAAGAAAACTCACCATCTCCACGACTGAGGAACGCAGCGCTGGTTATCACAAGTAAAGTGCCACGAATTCGAGCAAACCTTGACCGGCTCAGCATCCGGATCCAGGACACAGCTCTTCCCATCCTTATCAACCTTCTCCCCTTGACCACAGCCGCACACGCTCTCCAATTTATCACCCTTCATCAATGGGAAACACAACCCGGCACAGTTCCCATTATTAATAGAGCAAGGATGATATTTAGATATTTCCTGGTTTTTCTGCGAGTAAATCTTCACTCCATACAGCCGGTTGGTCTCATCAACCTTGGTAACGATGACCTCCCTGTCCCCCTTTATTTTATCCAGCTTAAAAATCGCATCCAACCTCCAATCCGTGATATAGACGAAATCCCCAAAAACCACTAAGGAAAACGGATGCCTTATAAGCTTAGAATTAATAGTTTTGATATCCCCTCCATCCAAATTGGCATGTTGCACATGGTCCAACAGCGCATCGCACCAGTACAAACGATCCGCCTGGTAATCAATGGATAACCCATTCGGCCATCCTAATAAAACATTTCTAAAAACTATCACACCCGATCCATCGGAATTTGCACGTGAAATATTCGCTGGTCGATCCCATTCGGAGTAGAATAAATATCCTTTATTTGGATGGACCACTATGGCACGGGGGCGTTTCAAAGAGCGGAGTAGAACACGGCGGATCGTGGTGTTCCGGGTGGAGAGGACTGAGAGGGTCCCGTCTTTGGAGTCGATGTAGTAGAGGAGCTTTGAGGCCCAGTCCATCGCGAGGCCCTGCGGAGTTGATATTTTAGAATGAAATTTCAAAAATTTACATTAAATAACGCACCTCGACCCCCTCATTCTGCGCCGCGAGGACAATCTCCTTCCCGGACCCATTCGATTTAATCTTGTAAATAACATCCTGCAGCACATCCGAAAAGTAGATAAAATTCTCATGCGCATCAAAATCCAGCCCGACGAATCTCGCGGATCTCGAAACCACCGGAACAATCGCGTCAGTAAACGAGTCCAAAACAGGATCCAGCACTTGTCCCTTTACGAATTTATGTTGTGAATAAATCAGCAATTCCTTCACTCCCATGCAGCTCCTGCGATCCTCCATCAACTGCCAACCAATGGGACAGGCACACTCGAAGCCTAGGTTCCCCTCGGGGGTGTTGGTTACAATGCAGAGTTTTTCACAGCCCCCGTTGTTCGAGCCACAAGGGGACGGGATGTGGGGTTGTACGAGGGAGGAATAGGCTTTCACTGCGCGGGGTTCTTTCGTTACCGTGCGGTTGGAGTATAGTGTGCGGAGGGTGTTGGTGGAGGAGTACTTGTCGAGTTCGAGGAGGCCTTCTTTGGTGGAGTCGGTGAAGTAGACGTTCGTGTTGTATAGGGTCAGGCGGGTGGGGGAGGGGATCGTCGAGGAGCCTAGGGAGAGAGGATTTTTTAGGTGGAGTTACTAAATTATTTAAAAATAAAAAAACCCACCCCTGACGACGCTCTGCCTCTGCCCCCCCTCGTAGTTAACACTCTCGATGTAATCTAAAAGACTATCGCACCAGTAAACCCGCTTCACCACGAGATCCACGGCAACTCCGCTCGCTCGATAAACCGCTTCAGTAACTATGGCACGAACATCCCCTCCGGACATGGTCGCTCGCATCACCCGCATATTATCCGCGATGAACATCAGTCCGATCAGTGGGTCCAGCGCTATGTCCGAGGGGTTGGTTAGATTGTGGGACAGGGCTATCACGTGGGATCGGCCGTCCAGCTCGAAGGTGTCGATCTACAAAGTTACTATTAGTATTTTAAATTATAAGAAATTGTGAATCATGCACCTTCTGCCCCACGGAGTCCACGACGTATAATTTGTCCCCGATCCAATCCACCGCGAGGGCAACGGGTGACCACGTCGTTGAGGGGAGGGAAATCTCCGTGGTTGTTCGGGAGGTTTGGTAAATCGGGGGAGTACTCGATGGTGGCTCGGTTAATTTTATGGCGTAGATCTTTCGCGTTTCTATGTCGGAGAAGAATAAGAGTTTTTTTGAGTAGTGGAAGTCCAGGCCGGAGGCGGAGGGGGTGTGGAGCAGGAGCTATGGGAATCATTTAAAATTAGTATAAAACACCAATGAAATTAACTTATTAACGCACCTCACTCCTCCCCTCTGGATTGATCCTGAACACCTCCGTGTGATGGACAAAGTAGATAAAAGCCTTCTCATCCGCTATGCATTTCTTCCCTTCAATAAGCTTATAACCACTGGCACAATCACACTTGTAGCTCCCCCTCGAATTCTCGCAAAACTGCGAACAATACCCGTACAACCCACACTCGTCCTTATCCACACACGTTCGAGAGTCGTTAGTAAAGACTTCAAACCCATCGGGGCAAGTGCACACGCCTCCGTCCAGCGAGGGGACGCACTTGTGGGTGCAGGAGAGTTGCGGGCAGAGCGTGGTGGCTGTGATTTATTATTGTTATTTCTACTATAATTCAATTAATTAATAAAAACTCACAGCACACGCCCTCCTCATCGGAGCCATCGGAGCAGTCCCTCTTCCCATTGCAAACCACGGATTTTTCCACGCATTTCGGCGTCCCATCCAGGCTCCCTTTTGGGCAGAAAAACTGGTTCTCTGGACATTTAATCGTACAATTCTTCTCATCCGACCCATCCGAACAGTCCGTTCGACCATCGCAGGACCAGCGTTTCGGGATGCAAAACTGGTTCGTGCAACGGTACTGGTCTTTCGTACAGGACGGGAAGTTGCAGGTTTTTTCGTCACTACATTTAATTTATTTTTAGAATAATTCTAATGACAATTAAAGAGAATGACGCTACCTCCCATCGGCACAATCCTCCCTGTGATTGCAGCGCATGGCCATTTCCACGCATTTGTCCCCCGTCCCACAGGCGAATTGGGTCAAGTCACAGGATAGAGTGCGGTTTGGACAGCTTTTTTCGTCTACAGAAATTTGATTAGTAAATTTTCAAAGAGTGAAATCCAATTTCCGTACCCTCCCCATTGCGACAGTCAAAGTAGCCATTGCACTTTTTGCTCTCCGGGACGCAAATGTCACCCTTCGTGGAGTCACATTTGAAATCGGTGGGGCCGCAGGGGCGGTATTCTAGAATTTACAAGTTATATAGGTTTATTCATTTATTGAGATATTAAAAACTCACGGCAATTGGCCTCGTCCGATCCGTCGAAGCAGTCGGGGATGCTGCAGTGGAATTAAAATATTAGCACTTTTCCCATTAATAAAAACTAAATTATTATTCTTACTGATCGCATTTCTGATGAACCGGAATACAATAAGAACTCGCGTTGAACTTGTACGTGGCACATTTAAATTGACTCACGGGGTCGCACTCAGGGGGGGCTAAGGAATTATTTAATTAGGAAATTTTATATAAATTCGTATGAAAAGAGTACTCACGGCAGTCTCCAATCTCGTCCTCGGCGTCTGCAAATTTAGTCAGACGATTTATAAATCCGGAATTATTAAATTAAAATAGTGAAATAATTACCAGCGCAATCGGCATGAAAATCGCAGACCCATCTCTTCGGAATGCACTTGGCCGAGGTTTTGTTCCCACACTTGAACTGGTCAGAGGAGCAGCTTATCGTTTCTAATGGATTGACACTGCTTTTTTAGTCGTGGAATTTAGTGGATTTTTAAAAATACGTACCTGAAACTGAATTTTAAAAAAATTATTAGAAACCCCTCGGTTATTGACCCGAAAATGGACTACAACTCACCTGTGGACTCTGTCGTGGTTGTGGGGGTTATTAGAAACAGGGGCAGGAGGAAGACGAGCGTCCGGATGGGGAGTAGTGACATCATGTCATCGTTCCGTAAGGTGGAGGAGGAGGTGGGTGTGGTGTGTGATTGTTTTTTATTGTGTGTTATAGTTCAACAGGTGGATTTGTGTTTGATTGTTGTAGTACTACACCGGTGGTGGTGGATCCAGCTCGTACCTGGCAGTACCATGGGACCAATATTGTAGACGTAGTGAAGAGTGGTGTGTATTATAAAAGTGGTGGTGATGGTGGTAGTCGACGAGGTGGTGGTAGTAAAACTGGTTTGTTGATTGATTGTTGATTGTTAGTAGAGAGTGGATTTTTTATGATCCTGGTGGTGGTTGTGTTGTTGGCATGGGGATTTTTTAAATGTTTAGTGAGATATTTAATGGAATTTATTGAATATGAGTTTTGATTTTTTTGCATGTTTTTATTTTGGCAGATCGTTTTTGTGAGCAGATTCCGAGCAGGGATTTCTCAAATTCCGACGGTTTTTCACGATAAATCAGTGGACAAGAGGCTAGTGGACGATTTGGACGCTTTTTTTATTGAATTTCTCATATTTTCTCATATTTTTAGGCATTTTTTAAGAGAGGATCGGAGCTGAAATGTAGTTCTTAAATTCGTTGGCCCATTTCTAGCCAAGAAACAAGAGTCGAGTGGACAATTTCGGACGACCCATTTCAACGGAATCAACGGGAAACTCCCACTTTGTCAATACGAAAGAATGGACATCGGTTCATCGTTTCCTCCTCCAAATTTCCAACAATTCCAACAACAATTCCACTGCAGAAACAATAAGCAAATCTGCAAATTCCCTGAGACAATATCTCAAAAAGTCTCACCCTCCCCACACTCACTCGCCTCGCAAATTCCCCAACATTACTCACCTCACTTCACCATCACCACCACTTTACACACACTTTCTCTCTCTTCTCTCCACTTCGCTGCTGATCATCACACACAAATGTAATAAAAACATTCCATAAAATAAATAAACAATGGACCCTACGACGATACCACCCCCCGCGCAGTCACCCAGCAGCCCCACAGTAACACCCACCCCCACCAGCACAACACTCCCCACCCCGGACCCCACCAGCGAAGACTTTGTAATAGTCCCATCACCAACATCCGATGATATCATCACGTTGAAAATACAAGGTCACCTCTTTAACTTTTCTCTCTTTATTTAATTCATTAAAATAATAACTCTTTAATAAAATCTTCCATAGTCCTCCGCGCCTTCATCCCCCGCACGACGCACCTCACCTCCACGACCTCGACCTCCACAGCGTCCTCCCCGCCCCCGCTCCCCTCCACCTCCAGCACCACGTCCACCCTCGTTAACGGATTATCACAGAAACTCCACCAAACTCTATCCAAGCCGAATCCGTACGTGGAGGTCGGGGTGGACGGGGTTTTTAGAAAGACAGAGGTCAAGAGGGGGACCTTCAATCCGCAGTGGGTGGACGGTGGGGCCAGTGGGACCGCTGGGACCGGGGAGGGAGAGTGGTTTTCATTGTGAGTCATATCTTAATTAAATTTGTAAATCACTAATATTTAATAATTTCCGCAGCCCCCTGCCTCGCTCCTCCCTCACCACTGCTACCACACCATCCACCACCACCACTACCACTACACCACCTCCCCCCACCATAACCCTCCGCCTGAACGACTACTCCCTCCTGCTCCGCAAACACCTCACGACCATCGGTTCCACGACCCTCGCCCCGAAAGACCTCCTCAAATCCACCCAAGAAATAAACTTAGAACTGAAAGACGACGCTGGGCGTAAGGGAGCTGGGAATTTAGTGATAAAAGTCACGTGGGATGGTGGGATCCGACCCATTCGACCCCCGCGTCCTACTACTCGACCCCCCGTGGAGCAAACTTTGCCTCCCGGATGGGAAGTCAGATACGACCAGTTCGGGAGGCGGTACTACGTCGATCACACGTGAGTCCGTCAATCACTCATTAATAAATCCACCACTCACCACCATTTCTGTCCACAGAACCCGCTCGACAACCTGGGAACGCCCCGGAGACGACCTCCCCTCCGGCTGGGAGATGCGTCGCGACCCCCGCGGCCGGTGTTACTTCCTCGACCACAACACCCGCTCCACGACCTGGCAACGGCCGTCCACCGAACGCCTCGCCCATTTCCAGTCCTGGCAGGGCATGCGAGCAGGGATTTTACTCCAAGGAAAATCCCGCTTCCTCTACCAACCACAACCCACGGCGGCTGCACCCACGAGCGGGATCATCCATGGGGACGTGGATGCGGACGTGGAGACCCTGGGTCCACTCCCGGATGGGTGGGAGAGGAGGGTTCGGCCAGATGGGAGGACTTACTGGATCAATCATGTTAACAAGACGTGGGTTGCTATTTTTTATGGGGTTTATCGATAAATATTAAATAAATTTCCTAAATAGGACCCAATGGGAGGACCCCCGCGTGATGGGGACCAACGACTCCACAACCTCGAGTGACGGGCTCCCACCCGGCTGGGAGATCCGCGTCACGGAGGATGGAGTGGAATACTTTGTCGACCACAATACCAGGAGCACGACTTTTAACGATCCTAGGGAGCCGTCGGATAGTTCCGTGGTCTCTGCGGGAGGAGGGGCGGCCGGGTAATTTTTTATTTTCCTTATACTAAACCAACCAAACTAACCACTAAATAAATAGGTACACCACCCCACACGTGGTTTACGAGCGCTCCTTCAAGTGGAAGATCCTCCAGTTCCGCTACTTATGTTCCTCCAACGCGCTTCCCTCGCACATAAAAATCACCGTGAGTAGGAGCACCCTGTTTGAAGACTCCTTCCACCAAATCATGCGTCACCCGGCGTATGAGCTGAGGAGGAGATTGTACATCGTGTTTCGCGGTGAGGAGGGGTTGGACTACGGCGGGGTGGCCAGGGAGTGGTTTCTGCTACTTTCCCATGAAGTGCTGAACCCAATGTATTGTCTCTTTGAGTATGCGAACAAGAATAATTACAATCTGCAGGTGAGTGTATTTACTAATTTATTGTGGGTCCATCTAATAACAAATCCATTAGATCAACCCCGCCTCCTACGTGAACCCCGACCACCTCCACTACTTCAAATTCATTGGTCGTTTCATCGCCATGGCTCTGTATCACGGGAGGTTCATCTACTCTGCTTTTACGATGCCCTTCTTTAAGCGGATGCTGGGGAAGAAACTCGTCGCGAAGGATATAGAGTCTGTCGATCCAGAGTTTTACTCCTCGTTGGTGGGTACTTACTTTAAATTACTAAATCATAATTATTTGATTATTAATTATTATCCCAAAGGTCTGGCTCCGTGACACGGACCTCGCCACCTCCCCCGAGGCCGAGTCATTAGAACTCTACTTCTCCGTTGATTTCGAAATCCTCGGCCAAGTGATCCACCACGAACTGAAAGAGAACGGGGATGCCGTGCGGGTCGTGGAGGAGAACAAGGAGGAGTACATTGGGTGAGCTACTTTACTAACTATCAATTTACAATTTACTGGGTGAGCTTAATTATCAACCAATTTAGTAAACCAACCCTAAAACCCAACTAACCCTTAGATTAATGACCACCTGGCGGATGACCCGCGGGATCGAAGAGCAAACCCGCTCCTTCCTCGAGGGCTTCAACGAAGTCGTCCCCCTGGAATGGCTGAAATATTTCGACGAACGAGAACTAGAACTCTTACTCTGTGGAATGCAAGAGATCGACGTGGACGACTGGCAGAGGAACACGATTTACAGACACTACACAAAAACCAGCAAGCAGGTCACCTGGTTCTGGCAGTTCGTCAAAACAGGGATGGACAATGAAAAGAGGTCACGGTTGCTGCAGGTTAGCCTCATATTTATTTAAAAAATTCCATAACCAACTAAACCCACTTCTTATCCACAGTTCGTCTGCGGGACGTGCCGTGTCCCCGTGGGCGGGTTCGCTGAGCTGATGGGCTCTAACGGCCCCCAGCGATTCTGTATAGAAAAAGTAGGAAAGGAAACCTGGCTGCCCCGTTCCCACACTTGTTTTAATCGCCTGGACCTCCCTCCATTCAAATCCTACGAGGCTCTGGTTGATAAATTAAACTATGCAATTGAAGAAACTGAAGGGTTTGGACAAGAATAAATAAAGACTATTTATTTGACTTTGAGGAAGAGTGATCAGTCAACCATTGGAGAGTTATGTCAATATTCTCACGCTCCTTACACGATATCGAGTAACAACAGATCTCTCGGTCTTGGATTATGTCCAGGTTCCTAGAGTCACGAGAGAGAGAGATGTTTATTTAGTTTACTTGGTAAATAGAAGATAAGAAATTACATCCTCTGAATGAGTCCATTTTCATCCAGTGCTCCGGGGAGGTCGCGTTTATTTCCAAGGACGAGGACTGGGATCCCCACCAGTTGGGGTTTTTCCAGTAAATTGTGTAACTCGTTACGGGCTGCCTCGATCTTTTCGTGGTCTGCAGAGTCAACCATGAAGACGATGGCGTTCACTCCGCGGCAGTACCTGCAGTGGATTTTTTATGGTTATTTTATTGGGAATTTAACTAAAAAGTGAGACCCACCTCTCCCACATTGACCGAAACCTGGGCTGGCCTCCAATGTCCCACACTTTGATCGTCACGTTCCCCTTGGTGATCTTCCTCATGTTGAAGCCCACCGTGGGGATCATGTCCTCGCTGAAGGAGCCGGACTGTTGGATAATTTATTATTATTTATGCATTTTCAACTTAAAATATAGATAAAACTCACAGCGATGACATTGACGAAAGTGGTTTTTCCACTGAACTGCAGGCCGACGAGGGTCAACTCCATCTCCTCCTTCCAAAATAGAGACTTGAGCCACTCCAACATCCGGTTCAGCAGGGCGAACATTTTTAAAAATAATTGTAGTGGTATTTTGTTGTAATTGTTTTGATTATGATGAGATCCGAGTGGTGTTGTTGTGTCTGACTGACTGAGAAGACTGACTCATTTTTTTGACTTTTGTGTTGGTGGATTGTGAGAGAGTGAGAGAAAAATCAATACTCAGGGGCGTACTGCTGTTTAATTTTTAATTTATTTTTTTAAAATCCACTCAAGCTCACAAAAATTACTATTAAATAAAAATAATAATAAACCCCAGGTTCCGCCGCCCCTGCCCCCACTCCAAGTCCTGCAGGAGTGCCTCTTAAGTAGAGTAACCCACCCAGCTGTGTAGTCTAACACACAAGCGCTGCTTTACAGTGTGATCTAACACACGCGGAATTTTTTCTCCGGTCTCTTTTTTTATTTATTTATTTTTCTCTCCTTATTTTTTCTATATTTTTAATATAAATAAAAGTCAAGAGATTTTTAGTGAGATTTTAGAAAACGTAATATAGCGAATTTTAGCGAGATTATTAATAATGTGAGAATTAACGTGAATTATTAATGCCCGTGTGTGCCTTCAAGAAGAGACCAATCAGAGTTAAATGAGTGCTATTAAGATTAAGAGTAACAAGAAATTAAAGGGGGAGCTCCTCCAGGGGTTGTATGGCAGGGGTAATGGTCTTTAATTACTCATATTTGTGATATTGGTGTGGGTCTAATTAAAATTAACTTAAACAGGGAAGCGCATGCAGGAGATGATCTGCGTCTACGCGACGACGTTCATCCTCCTCGCCAATCTAGTCATCCTGCTCTATAATGTTCAAAAAGGGGAGCTCGTCATCGTGGCTGGTGCGGTGCTAACGGGGATGCTCACCGCGGATTTTTTGTCCGGGTAGGCATTACTATTTTCTGGTTATTCTTAAATTACTGTATTGAAATTCCACTAAAAAACTCATCTAAAACCGCATTGCAGGCTGTTCCACTGGTCCTGCGACAGTTGGGGTTCCGTCCACGTGCCTCTCTTCGGCCCCGCCTTCATCCGCCCCTTCAGGGAGCACCACCTCGACCCCACGTGAGTCACTCCCATAATTATCTTACCCTAAATTCACCCAATAAATAAACAAACAATCTTCTAATAAAAAATAATAGGTCCATCACCCGCCACGACTTTATCGAGACGAACGGCGACAACTTTATGCTCCCCCTGCCATTTCTGACCTTATTATTCGTCCACCTCTGGCGTAGCCCACACTTCTACCTGGATAACACGTTCCTGGTTTGGTTCACCTACGCCCTCGCCTTGCTCGTTGCCTTCACTAATCAAATACACAAATGGAGCCACACTTACTATGGGCTGCCCAGGTGGGTTGTTTTACTCCAAGACTGGGGGGTCGTCCTCGGGAGGAAACATCACAGGGTTCATCACGTGGCGCCACATGAGACGTAGGGTTTATTTAATTTTTATGCAATTTCAATTAAAAAATGGGCTTATTTTGAGATGAAACTAATATTTAATCCTAACTCTCAGGCACTTCTGCATAACCACCGGCTGGCTGAACGTCCCCCTGGAGTCCCTCCACTTTTGGAGACATTTAGAGTCCCTGATAACCTTGCTAACGGGTAAAAAACCCCGAGAGGATGATTTAATGTGGGCCAAGTGATGCTCAATAATTTTTTTATTTAACACACGTGAATCTCTGTTTTTAGTTAATAAAAAAACGCTCAAAAAGAAACGCTCCGCTTTAACAAATTTATTTAAAAAAACGCTCAAACTTTGGACACTTCATTACTCGCCGTCCTCACCACGACGTTGCTCCCGTTGGAACTAAGGGGGAGTGGCTGGAAGTAGTAGAAAACCTTTTGTTGGATATAGTTGTTGTAGAACAATCCTCCTAATATTATTTTTTGGTTTTTAGTTTTAGAACATTTCTTTGGTTTCACAATTGGATTATTGATATTAAGCACCAGGTTTTTCTCTACTAAAAAAAACACTTAACCCTCAACCACGCCCCCTTTTATAAGAAAATACACTGTACATAAAAATTCCTCCACAAAATAATAACTACACACACACACCCCCTTGAGAGAGAGAGAAGAAAGCGAAATTAGCGAAAGAACCCGCGTTTAATCTCCTCCGCAATTTGTTGTTGAGCAAGAAAAGCTTGGTCCCATCTCCGCTTGTTATTATTATGAAACAGCGTGTTCATCATGGGAAAGGTTAACATACCGTTCACCGTGCTGCCTCCGACGCCACCACTGCCAAGGAGGAGTTGCTGCTGGTGCGGGTGGTGATGAAGGAGGGAGGGGAGTTGTGGTGGGGACAAGAGCTGCTGCTGTGGAGGAGACAGTAACTGTTGGTGATGGTGGAGCTGATTGATCAAGTGGTGGTGAGGAGAAGGGAGTCCCAAAGGAGGTGAAATCTGTCCCCCGGTCAAAACCAGGTTCATATCATCCCCAGAGCATTGGAAGACCTCGATGTAGCGCTGTTTCTTAAAGTGGAGCATGTACCGGTGGTGTTTTTGGGTAGAGGCGAGGAAGGCGGAGGGCTCAGAGTCCATCTGGATGAAGGCTTCCCCACTGGGTTGGCCCTGTGGATGTAGGAATTTATTAGTTAATTAGTGTTATGCAATTAAAAATTAGTACGTACCTGCGCATTATAAACCATGTGCACCCCTCTATAAACAATATTTTTGGCGTGCTCCCCCAGAAACTCCAAAATATGCTCCACTTGCGCTTCGTAAGGCAATCCCCTGAGTCGAATGCAGTCCTTCCTCGTCCCGGAGGTGATTATCTGCTGCGGCGGCGGTGCGGGTTGCTGCTGAGGTGGTGGCGGCTGAGGCTGCGGAACTACTGGCGCCGTGGGAGATAAGTGCAGCAAAGGAGACAATTGCTGCTGAGGGAGTAGTAAAGGGCTGAGCAGTTGGTGTGTCGGGTGGTGATGGTGGTGTGGGTGGTGGTGGGGGGAAGAGAGGAGGTGTTGAGTATGTGGGGATGGGGATGATGATGATGGGTGGTGTTTGAGTAGCTGGGGGGGTTCCAGGCAGCGGTTGAGCACCTGCAATTGAGGTAATTAGCCACCCACTACAATTAATGATAAAAAGGTGATTTTACCTGCTGCACCTCCGCCGTGGTGCTCTTAAACAACTCGATGTACCTCGCCCCAATCACTTCTTTATGTTTCAACAGCGCTTTGGCCCCGTCCTCCTCACTCTCAAAAAGGACAAAGGCATCCCCCGTCGCCCTCCCGTCCACCCGCTTCACAAATAAAACGCCGTCCTCCCCGCAGTGCACCGGGATTCCATCGTCACTCTCTTCCTGGTCGTTCCCATTCTCGTCGCTATTCTCCTCATTATTATTATTACTCGTGTTTTTAAAAAACTCCAACACCTGCTTGGCCGAGCAGTCGTAGGGCAGCCCCCGCATCCGGAGGATCACGTGACCCCCACGGGACAGGAACGTCGTGGCCTCGTTGTTCGTTCCTATAAATTAATCAATTTATTAATTAAATCAACAAATAATCAATAGAAATAATTACCTCTTCCAAACATGATTAAAAGCGTAAAAGACTAATACGAAAATCAGATGTGATTAAAGATAGTGCAGAAGAGAGAGAAGAAGAGTGAGTGGCTGGGAATTAGCATTGGAGAGATAAGTGAATATAACTCACCCCCTGCCACGTTGATGAAATCTTCACCACTCGCCCTGTACACCTCGATGTAACGGGAGCCGATGTGGTGCTTGTGACGCTTCAGGGCCATGTCGCGCTGGGTGGAGGTAGTGAAGCGGACCAGGGCCTCGCCGTTGCGACGGCCTGTAGGGATTTGTTAGTTAGGAATGGTCATTTTTATGGAAATTTACATAGTTGGATGATTATTTTGTGTAAATTATTACCTTGCGAGGAGAGACACAGGGCCACGCCGCCCCTTTATCAAAAATAAAATCATGGCATCATTCCCATGAAATAAAATCATAAACCACTTGAGTCCTCTCACCTGGCAATGTCCAGACCCCTAAAAAACCTGGCCACGTCCTGGTCCGAACTCTGCCAGGGCAGCCCCCTCGCCCGGATCACCGTCGATGGGTCGATGTAGTCCGTCTTCGTACTATGCAACTCTTCAATTAAGACAAATTCACTAAAGAAAAGCATAAAAACCTCACCAAATCCCCGGCTCCAACTTCTCCATGATTTTTTCCCTCTCGATTTTATCAAGATCTACACAAAAACAATGATAAGCAACTTACCCACCACTAAAATCTTAAGACTCACCACTGACCCTCCCCCTCACGACCCCCAGCATCCACTCCATTACATCAGCATCCTCCGATGGTTCTACATATTAAAACATGAGGGGCACCATGAGACTTGTATAAAAAAACAGAGTTCATGGCCAACGCACTCACCTGTCTCACCACCACTACTAGCACCACCACCGCTGAACAGGTTAAAAAAGTCGACGTATTCATGGAAGCAGGAGAAGTCTTCTCTAATGCTTTGTAGACGTGGAAGTAAACATTGCCGGAGAGGGTGGTGGCCAAGGGTTATCGGAGTGTGCAAGGGGTAGAGGGTCCGGATCTGTGGGGTTATTATTGGGTTATTTCGTGGTATGCAAATGAGTATATGATAAATTACCTTATCCATGGCCTGATCTAAGGGCAAGGTCTCCGCAGCAGGGTCGTCGAAGCCGCCCAGGAATTTGGTCAGGGTGGAGGGTGGCTCCGTTTCACAAGGGATTTTTATGTTCTACAATTACTTTAGAGTCTGTATTTTTATATAAAAAATATTGAAAATTAATAAAAATTACCAGCACTCCCCCCTGATTCTCCTCTTCTTCTCCCAATTCCACGACCCTAACGACCACCACAGGCGACTCATCATCCCCCACGTTCCTCAAGCCCTCGAAGGACTCGCTGCCCAAACTGCCAACGAACAGGATTAAATATTTCTGCATTTTATAGTTCACACTGCATTTTTGCTATTTTTATACTACTGCGGTAGTAGATCTGCTGTGGTGATGGTAGAGATCTGTTTGTGTCGGTCGGTGAAGGTGGTGGTGGTGTGGATTTACCTGTCTCTTTGGGTAATAAAAAGGTAGTGGTGGTAGTGAGGATTCAACAGGTAGTTGAATGTGGTTGCCCCGTGAAGGAAAGAGTGGAGAGCAGATAGGAAAGTGAGAGTAGTGAGGGTGAGAGGATATGGAGACATCTAGCTGGGGGTGCAGCAGAATTGTATGAAAATATCATGGATCTAAAGGAAAATATGCAGATCCGCTTATTTTATGCCAAATAAACCACACTTCCAATTAATAATTTACCAATAATTTATTAAATATCCGTAAAAAAACCACGTTTAAAAATTGAAAAAATTTTGATTCTGTGACTGCTGTGACTGCGACTGCTGTTGTAAAAACGGATTTTGCTGCTGCTGCATCTGCTGTTGTTGTTGACCGGAATTATTATACAAACTCAGAATGGACTCCTTGGTCAATTTTTTCTCCGCCCCCATCTCTCCCACTCCCGTGGAAATGCTCAAATCCTGCAGCAACTGCTGATTCTGCTGCTGCGTCGCCGCCTGTGTCGTGTCCACCGAACTGATAACGATATCATTTAAATCAAATAAAGACTCCACTTTTGGTTCTTGAACGGGGATTTCCTTTGGTTCAGGTTTTGGAGCAGGAGTTGGAGTAGTAGCACCACCAGCAATGGTCAATTTAGGAAACAGGATAGAATTATTTGGAGGGTGCAGTTTCTTCTTTGACTTGGCCGCGATGAGTTCGTCGATCTCGTGGGTCCTGAATTTGGGATTCACACGATTAACCCACTTAATAAATAAATAACAATAGAGTAAACCCACCAATCCACCCTCCCCACCACCGTGGGGACAAACTCTTTAGCAATGTATTTCTTATGCTCATATTTCGCTCGTATGAAATTCTCCAGCGTGGTGTCCGTCTGTGGGCGGCGGAACGTGTCCGGAATGTTGGCCTCGTACACGGCCCGGCCTCGGGAGTTGCCCATGTTGTTCATCGACTATTTAATTAATTTGTTAAGTCACCATAATAAACACTAAAATAAAATTAGTAGCATCCACCCACCACGACCTGCTCCGGCGTCCACGTGTCTAAATTGACACTCTTCACCTTGGAAATATGAACCCCCAAGTTCCGGTGGATCCCGGCGCAGCGGATGCAGAGGAAGATCCCCAAATTCCAGGAGGCCCAGCGGGGGCCTACGGATAGTCACATTGTTAGTTAATTAAAATAAAAAAATAAATAGAGCAGAGTATTTACCCTTGGCATCGCAATCCCCACAGTATTTGTTGTCCTCATCCCTCAGCATCTCGTTCAACATCTGCTGACACTTTTCCTGGATCAACTTCACTCGCTCCTTCTCCAGTTTTGTGCTCATTTTTTTTAGCTAAATTTTATAGATTCCAATTTTAAAACCACTTGACACTCTGCTGTCTCTAAATCTACTAAAAACTTCAAACCCCCCGCTCAGCAAACCCACTCTGGATTGGAAAAGAAGCAAACAACTCTCTCTCCACTACACTCTCCTCTCTCTTCACTTCACTCTGACTGTCACTGAAAAACAATAAAACCTTATCGAAAATGTCCGACCAACAGCAGTTTTGCCTCCGCTGGAACGATTTCCAATCCAACATTGTCACCTGTTTCAAACACTTGAGGACGGAGAGGTCCTTCACTGATGTTACCCTCGCCTGCGACGGCCAGACCACCAAAGGTTGCTTACTCTTTAGAAAATATTTTGTTTGTTTACTAATCACTTTCTTGTTATCTTCCAGCGCACAAAATGGTCCTCTCCGCCTGCTCCCCATATTTCAAGGCCATTTTGGAGGTACGAATTAGTTTATTGATTTAAGTAACTACTAACCCGTGTGTAAAATCACAGAACAACCCCTCCAAACACCCGATAATAATCCTGAAGGACGTTCCATTCAACCACCTCCAGTCCATCCTGGAGTTTATGTACGCCGGGGAGGTCAATGTTCCTCAGGACACCCTCCCTGCGTTTCTCAAAACGGCGGAGCGGTTGAAGGTCAAGGGGCTCACGGAAGGTATTACTCACTCTCTTGTTTAATTATCCATTTACTAATTAATTATTTCTTGCAGTGAAAAGGAACTAAATGGAATAACCACCACCTCCGCTAAATTATTACCCTCCTCCTTTTTTGTATATTATACACACTTTTTTTGTAAATAAATAAAGATCATCATTTTTTCTCAAACAAACCTGAGACTCACTACGGCGCATACTCATAAAATTCTCTCTCTCCTCTCTCATTCACTCACTACACTCTCATTCACGCTAATAAACAAAAAGTCCTCATTCCTCATCAGATAAATTGTTTTAAAAAATGTCCTCCGTCGGTAAGTCCATAAATTACTGTCACTAATTCCACTAAACCCTTAATTCTCTCCGTAGTGGTCCCCCGCACATTCCGCTTATTGGAAGAACTCGAGCAAGGCCAGAAAGGCGTCGGCGACGGGACGATAAGTTGGGGTTTGGAGAATGACGACGATATGACGCTGACCTCCTGGACTGGGATGATCATCGGGCCGCCCAGGGTTAGTTTTTAACTTATTCACTAATCCAACTTGCTAATAAAGTATTAGTAGACCCCCTACGAGAACCGGATGTACTCGCTGAAGATGGAATGCAACGAGCGCTACCCGGACGAGCCCCCCGCACTTAAATTCTTATCCAGGATCAGCATGAACTGCGTCAATGGGGTCACGGGGGCGGTATGTAAATACTACTTTATTTATTAATCACCAATCCCCCCCTAAAAACTACTATCCTCATAGGTCGACCCCCGTATGGTCCCGATCCTCTCCCGATGGCAGCGAGACTACACAATCAAGACGATTCTCCAAGAACTCCGTCGCCTCATGACGATGAAGGACAACTTGAAACTAACTCAACCTCCGGAGGGCTCGCTCTTCTAATTTATTTCCTCACCACAAAAATTAATTTCTTTTTATGAATAAATTTATTTACATTTCAATTAACTACAGATACAGAATTTGAATAATTTAGTTTATTTCCACGGCTTGAACTCGATTTTTCTAGATTTTAATACCGTCCACTTGTGGCGCTTGTAGTAGTAGCTGATCATCGCCAGGATGGAGAACATCATTGTCGCCTGTGGAGTTATTTATTAGTGGTTTTTCTACTAAATCCCATGATAAATTACCTTCAAAGCCATCTGCTTCCTATCGTCGTGCTCCGGCTCTGCGGCCCACTTTAGAAACGTGGAGACGTCCTTGGCGAACTGCGAGGCGGTGGCTGGAGTCCCGTCCGGGTACTCCAAAACCTGGAGGGACACGCACGGATTTTTAGTTAATTTCCACTAAAACACAGTAAAAGTAAAAATACCTCATTATACAACGCCTGCGCCATTGAAATGGCCCCCCCTGGGAAGTACGGATTGAAATATTGCCCCTCCCTCAACGGCACCCCGGCCGGAGCATCGCAATACCCAGTTAGTAAAGCAAACACGTAGTCTTCCCCTCCATGCCGGGCGGCAGTGATGTAGCTTAGATCCGGGGGGAAGGCGCCATTATTTGCGGCCCTCGCGGCCTCGTCGTTCGGATAGGGAGAGGGGAAGTAGTCGGAGAGTTTTCCAGGCCGGGTGAACATGTTTCCTGTTGAAATTAGTTATTAATTACTGCCAAATAACACTAAAAGCTAGATAATGGTTACATACCCTCCTCATTGGGCCCATCCGTGACGGTGATCTCCTCGGCCTCCTTCTTCGCCTCCGCCTCGGTATGACTAACCCCGACTAAATTCCGATACGCGATGAACCTCATCGAGTGACAAGCTGAGCAGACTTGTTTATAAACGTCGTAGCCACGGCGGATAGAGGCGTGATCCAGGGATTGGAACACGCCAGAGTGGTTCCAGGGGAGGTGGGGTGGGTGGAGCTCGAGGTCGGAGGCGGAGGTCGAGGTTTCTAGAGTGGCGGTGAGGATCACGGTGGCTGTGGCGGCCCCGGTCAGAAGGGCGTAGCTTATCTGTGGAGTGAGAGAGTGAGGTTTAGGTGATTTTAAATTAAATTGTGATGGAGTACCTTCTTCCTGGAGGAGGAAGTGGTGGTGGTGGAGATGAGCCGCGGTGATGACCCGCCCAGGGATGGGGTCTTGGGGACCTTCAGCAGGCAGCGGGTCAGCAGGGCCATTTTTTTAGCAGCAACTCGGTAAGTGAGACTTGGAGCAAAACTGCTGATATATATTTTGGGATGAGAACTACTCCTCTCACCCGCAGGATAGATGGCTCTCCCCTCTCCAAAAATCATGTATATGATAATCCACCAAATAAACTCCAATCCTTAAAACCTCACTTTATTTATTCATTATCAATATCCATAAAAACAAACACACTAAAAAAACTGTACACCCATCCACTCCCCCCCCCTTCATCATCACTTCTTATCTAATAACTCCTTTTTGAGATCAGCCCCACCCCCTCCTCCAGTAGGAAAAACCTTATCAATCTGTTTAATACTCTCCCCCGTATAGTTCTGAATGGCTGTGAGGGCCGCGACCAGGGCGGGGGCTCCAAAACCATGCGTTATGAGGGAAAAATGGGTCAGATGGCGTTGGATCGTGGGGTCGAGGAGGGGAGAGGGCCGGGTGTTGCACAACGGGCTGCGGTCTGAGTTCAGGAGGTCGAGGAGTTCCTTTGTTGTGTGTCTGTTGGGGGGATTTATTTATTTAGGTGGATTTAGTTAGGATTTTATTTATTTATAGTTATTACACATGAAATTAATAAAATAATCAAACCTGGCCGCCTGCAGGACCTCCCTCCTCCTCAACGCCTCGTTAATATCATTCGTGTGGGGTCGGGTTAAGTACTCGGCGATTTGCCTCGCTGGGAACTCCGTTTCGCAGACGTAGCCAAAGTCACGGGCCAGGTGGATTGCCTCTCCTGTTTTTTTTTATTTTTAGTGAATTTCCTCGTAATTTTAGGGTAATTTACTCGTAATTTAAGCATACCCTCCACTAAACTGGTGAGCAAGGTGACGTTGGCCGCCTTCCGCCTCCCCGCTGGCAAATTTAACCCGATCTTTTCCAGCTTTTCACGTAATAGGCGGCCTCCATTTTTGCTCTTTGCCCTGCGGATTTTAATAAATCATCAACTAATCCCATACAACAATTGAAATTAAGACTGACCTCCTCAACACCCCCCCTAGCAAACTCGCATTGAGACACTCCGGGGGGCTCAACCTCCTCTGCACCTCCCCGATCGTCACTTTGTATTTACTCGTGGAACTCAGCAGCGACAACCTCCCAGGAACGGAGCAAAAAACGTCCGATGGCTGCTGCTGGAAATTCGAATAGTGGAGCATCTTGTTTCCTTGGGTGGTCGTTGTCGTCGTGGGGTCGAGGAGGAGCAAAGGGTGAGGTTTTGAGGTGGAGGGGGACGTGGTGGAGGTGTTTTTTATGCCTGGAAATTAGTAAATCATTTAGAAATTGGATAATAAATTTGAATGATTGTTTACATAAATTGATGACGAAGGAGGAGTTTGAATTGGAAGAGCAAGAACAACAGTCGGAATTTATCTCTTCTTCTTCTTGGGGGGATGGGGATGATTCGTCGTCTTCGGACATGGGGGGTAGGGGGGAGATGGACGTCGTGAGGGACATTTTTTAGTGGATTTATATGGACTTTTACTAGTTTTTTTAAGGAGACCAGTTCAAACTCCCCGCTCCAGAAAGACCAACGGGGCGACCTACCTTTGAGTAACTCCTGGTTATATTCATCCTCTAGATCCTGGTGGGTGTGGTGCTGGTGGTGGTGTTGGTGGAGGTCCTATAATTTATAATAGTTAATTTATGAATTCCACTGGGGAAATTAAAAAAATACCATCAATTCCTCCTCATTATTATTATGTTGATGGTGCTGCTGCTGCTGGACGACTTCTGATGAGCTGTCGACAATGTACTCTGAGCTCCCACGGCGGATCCGGTCGTTGTAGAATTCTCCTCCAGGGGAGCGTGGATTTGAGGAGGTTATCGGGGAGGAGGTCGTCGTGGTGGAGGCTGTTGGGTTGGAAGATCCACCGCCAGTGGAGGAGCTAAGGGTGAGGTGCTGTAGGGGAGTCGATTTATTAGATTGGTCAATGGATTGTGAGTAAATAAAGCTCACCTGATACTGCTGCTGTTGATAATACTGCTCATTGTTATTATTCCCACTCCCACCTCCACTAATCTGGTGATGGTGGAAATTAGGAGGTGGGAAATAAGGAGGCTGAAAGTCGATCGCCGCCGCGACTAATTCCGAGTCCCGGTGGTAGTTTTGTTGGTGGGTTGTGGAGGAGGATGAAGGATTTGTGGAAGAGGTCACCAGGCGGTCCTACAATAGAGAAATATTAGTATAAAATAATTGAAATTAGTGAGCAACGCACATTATCGACTAATTCTTCCTCTTTCAAGTCTTGCTGTTCTACGATGTAGACTTGCTGATGGGGATTATTGGAGGATTCAAGGATCAGTTTGCGCATCGGGAGCAGGGCGTCCCCGTCGCTGTTTTTGTTCAGGACGAGGAGGATCGTTTTGTTGAGGTGCTGGTGGGGGATAGGAGGAGGAGGTGTGGGTAGGTCGTGTGGTGGTGGGGGTGGTGGGTCAGGAGGTGGAGGGGAGGATGTTGTAACGGGTGGTGTGGACATTTTTAGATAGAATTTTAGTAACTGAGAGAGTGGAGAGAGTGGTGGAGAAGAAGTGGCTTCACATTCCAGAGGTGATGAGAAGACAACAGGTAGTTTTTTTTATAGTGGAATGGAGAGACAGGTAGATAGTGGTGGTGGTGGAGGAGAGTGGGTACAAACAGGGAGGGTGGTTGTGAGGGTAGTGATTTTTGATGAGGGGTCTCTGGATATTTTATGGTCTGCTTTTTTTGTGTGAAGAATTGTTTTGTGGGAATCTGAGATTAATTACAGCAGGACTTTGGTCAATTTTTGAGATGTTTTTAATTACTAAATACGTCGTCGGATGATTGGGAAATGTGAAAGCCGTGTCTCAAATTTGTGTGTTTTCACCCAAGAAAGATTGTGTGCCCGTGTGAGGATAAGAAGAGTGCTTTCAAAAGGCGTCTCACCTTCCCCTCTCACCGGATCTCTCCTATAGCTGCGCATTTTAGGCAGGCTCATCTCAATCTCCAATTCTCCTCTCAATCACTCTACTCAACTCCACACTCACACTTTTACCACGATAAAACCACGGGAAATCGGAGCCCACTTGCCAAATTCTTTAACTAATCCATATCAATTACCTTTACATTCTTTACACAATTTTTCCCAACTGTTTTGCCCAATTTATTCCTAATTTTAGTCCTGAATTTTTTTTTTCATTCCAAATTAACAAAATGTATCCCTAACAAACCGACAATTAAAAGTAAACCCATTTCCACGACTCGACTGCATGAATCTGCATGAAACTGCATGAATCCAAGTTGTTAATAAGTAATGTGACAAAATACTTGATACGATGGTCTTAACCCTTTCCTTCGTAACGATGGATATATCCGTCCCCGGATTTCGAACGTTGCTGCGGAACAATGGAAATATCCGTCGTCATAAACTTGGCGTTGTAACGGAACAGAGGATATTTCCATCCTAATTTCCAAGGCGTTGCGACGGAGCAACGGATTTATCCGTTGTCTCAAAATTCGGCATAGATACGGAAAGAAGGAAATATCCTTTCTTTTGGTCTGTGACTTTATTACGTAGTGAAGGATATTTCCTCTCATTGAAAAATATTTTTTCCATGGATTTGCACATCTTGAAAAAAATTCGGTTTTTAGCCCGAGTCAGGGGTTGTGTACCTGCTTTGTCCGGTGTGTCTCTGCCTGTCTGGTGATCAATAACTCTCGTAAATCTATCCTATCGACTTTAAATTTTGTACTATTACTTTGTCATTTTTAATTTTCCGAAATTTCAAGTTGATAGAATAAGTTTCACGAAGGTCAAGACGCAAGACGGACGGATGGACAACACGGGTACGTAAGTCCTGGGTCGGGCTAAAATGTCTCCATGATTACGTCATTTTTGAAATGAAATGCCTCCACAGAAAGTTGAATAGTTTTGGAAATATATCCATGGAACGTATCACTGAAATTTACATTTGCTCCGTGATAAAGTTTGGTAATTCAAAAATTGCTACGCCACAAGCTATGGTTGTGAGGCGTTGCTATTCCGCAGCAACGGGATATTTTTGAGAATTCTCTTACGAAGGAAAAGGTTAATTTCCGACGCAATTCTATATTCCCAACTCTATCCAAGCTTGTGAAAGGAATGACGATTTAGTCACAAGTGCAAAGTGGACTTTCCAAGTTTCCACTATTCCATACGAATAATTAATCTTTCACACAACTCTACCAGCCGATCCTCCATTCCCTGTAAATTCTCAATTCTCAAGCTCTTAAGAAACCCACATAAATTCCTAATTTTACACACATTAAAAAAACTCAATGGCCGAATTTTACCAAAATTTCTCTTTAATAAAAAAGTGGCTAAATTTCTTATAAATTCACAACCGAGATGAGATTGCATATCAGTGAGGACCTCGTCTTAAAAGTGTTTACACACACGTTTATTTATCCTAAACCTGCGAAGATTTTACTACAGCAAAATATTTGCATGCAAATCGGGGGCATATAAATTTTTGTATCAGGAATTGGAGATATAATGGGCGTACTCACGACAACGTCTTATTTCGCATCGCAACTCATTTAGCAAACTTGCGAAGCTCAAAAAATTTTTGTCGTGAGGGGATTCGCAAAACAAATTTCGCAAATTTCGCAAACTCAATGCTGTATCTTTTATGCTTTATCTGTTTGCAAAAATGCCCAAAATTTCGCAGAAAAAAGTTTTAATTCAACGTATTTGTGAACTAGCCGTTGTGAATATAGTAAATGAGTCATCTATTGGAAATATTTTCGACGACACCATACAAGATATTGTCCTGGTTAAAATGATGAGATCGACAGTTCCACGTAATCCAGTTCCCAAATCCGATCAGTGGTTCTCCATCGTACTTCCAACTCTCGACGATCATCGCTTCAAATCATATTTGAGGGTGTCACGTTTCAACTTTGGAAAAATTTTACAAGAAATTCAAGATGACAAGGTTTTCAAATCCAAGAATTATGGAAAGCAAGTTCCTGTCGAGAAGCAATTAGCTATAGCTCTATACAAATTTGGGTTTGATGGAACTGGGAGTTCTCTAGCAAATACGGCAGCGTTATTTGGAGTTGGTGATGGGGGGACTTTTTGAGACGAGTCTTCTCAAGTTCTATCCTCTCCATATCCATTTTTTGCTCATGGTCAAATTTTTTCAAATCCAGCTCGTATTGCGAGTCTCGACGACGTTTTTCATCTTCCCATTTTTCTTTGGACAGTTCCAGCTCTCCTTGCTGTACTTCAAACCGAAGCAATGCAGTCTGACCAAGGATTTCTAGTCCCGTACTCTCCGAACTCTTCCGCTTATTTTTATTTGTGCTAGTATGACTTTGTACCGTATTTCTGGACGACATTGTGACACCAATTTCTTGCTCGATTTGTCCTGGCATGTCATACTCTTCGCTGTTTTGCAATTGAATGTCCTCCATGATAGATTCGATTGAAATGGATGAGTCGTGGAGGTATGGTGGATTAATGTTGGTTCTGGTACCATATATTTCGTCCATCTCATCAAAGAAGGGGCAACGCTTTAATAGCACTTCTAAAATTACGTACAAAACGATACAGGTATTTTACTGGCTTATATTTGATATGAATATGATCAATTCACTCACTCTTCACACTTTCTTCACCTTCCTCGAGTAACACTCCTTGTCCTGTTTTGCTTCTCCATTCAATAGCATCCATGTATTTCTTCTTTAAATTTTTGACCTGATTTTTGAGCTGATTCCCTGAGCAGTCCTCCAATTTTAATTTCTCCACAGCGTTTTGATAGAAAATTGTAGCATTCGGCTTTTCCAGGGGCTTTCCTTGTTTGACAACACTTGTAAGATAGTTGAGAAGGATTTTATTTTCATCGTCCGTCCACCGTCTTCGAAAAACTTCCGGTTTTGGTTTAGCTTCTGGGTTTTCGCTATCGGACTTCGGCTCAACAGTTTTAGCTTTTTTCGCTTTGACACGACCAGCAGCCATTTCACCGTAATTTAAATTATGGATAAGACTAAAATTATCTGTAATTTTTATCGATTTTGATAGAGTTTAATCTTGCAAAATAATCTTGCGAAATAATTTTGCGAAATAAGTACATGCTCAATTGCTGGGTAAATTTGCGAAAAAAATCCCATGGTTTTCCAGCAAAAGTTTTGCGAAGTCTCGCAAATTTCGCAAAACTTCGCAAGTTATGTTGCTATGCTCAATTTGCGAGATATGCGAGATATGCGAAGGTTGACGTGAGTACGCTCAATAAATTGTTTAGATTAAATTCAGATTAAATTCTTTTAACCACATGAATTTTAAATTATTTTGCAAGAGTTAATTAATATTTTTTGGGGGGAATGCTCGGATGAATAAATATCCCACTCGCGAAATAAACCAAGCTTTCATTAATAAATGTGAGACTTATATACGACAAGGATATACACCTTCTCAAATCAATCACATGCTTCCTGCACAGTCCCATATTTTACGTTTGTTAAATTCTGGGTAAATCACCATTGACATTTAACCAATAACCCACGAAATGACTCTGTTTAATAAACGAAGATTTGCGATTCTGCTCGTCTCAAAAATCAAGTGGCCTGTATACAACTCTCAATTTGGAGCTGTTTGCACTGATTTTTTTCTCTTAATTTCCACACTAGTCTGCCCTTTAATAAAAGAATGGATCAAATTCTCTTTTTTTGTAAATATATCACGTTATCCAATGTTACTCGCGTATGGCTAAAATTTCCGACAATGTGCGATAATTAAAAAATAATAATAATTCGTTAATTAACATTTAGCATTAATTAACGACCAAGTTTTGTTTTAGCCAATTTAACGAGATTAAATTTTTATGTTTAAAAAAATGGTTTTAAGCAATTTTTCATACAGCAAATGTTTAAACGAATCGTATTGCAGTTTAAGAAATTAAGAAATTAAATTAATTCTTAATTTAAAGGGTAGGGTAGGATGGTGAAGTCTGATTTAATTTTTATAAATTTTTGCAACATTTATAAATATTGTAACTTCTGTATCACTCATGAAATGAGAAAATTGTATCACTTCATTCAGCTTAGAAAATCAGGTTGGAAGTAGGGGTAAAAATTTGTTGCTAAGTTCGTCATCCTACCCTTAAGAAAATTAATTTGTTCGTATTTACTAAATTAGATTTTGATCTAACTTATTCAAGAGTCTAATCTTAACGCCATAAGCTGCTCGAGACATTCGCGATACATGTCAAGTGAACTCGTATAATATCTCAAATTTATCGAATGCGCGTTGTAACTTTGGAGGTGTTATTATTAAACACCGATTCCCTCACTTTCCCAATTTTTATCATTTCACAAATCTTATTTAAGATTATTTTGTGAAAAGTCTCGATATCCAAACAATCTCATTACACACACCGAGTTTTCTTTTTATTACTTTTGCGTTTTAAAAATGGCCGTAGCTGAAATTTATTCATTTGTCCCTCACTTTCCCTGTTTCCAGTAAGCACAAGATTAAAATTCTAAGTTTAGAGCATTTTGCCACATAATATTCTCATTTTTCTTAGTGAGGCAAGCAACGAGTTAATTTCATTTCAGC